ATTTAGCCTTGCTGATTATGTAGCTTTCTATGCGCGAAAGATATTTTAAAATCAGTTGAGTAGTTTTTGAGTTAATTCATTACAAACAAACAATAAAATCTTTCTTCTCTATAATATTAGTATATACGAAATCTAATTTCATTTACTACTTACATCAGTATCATTATGCTAGTGTTCGAAGATGAAACAGCAATAGTAATGCTTATACGTGAAATAGTTTGATTAACAGTGGGGACTGGGGTCCTACCCCATGTTTCAGCGTGATTAAGAACTATGATCGATGTTTCGACATGTGCAGTGGGGACCGTGTACATCATTTATTAACTTTCCCATATCATGTCACTATACAGAAATGTATATTTAAGCCCATGTGCATCAATTTACAATAGTAGATTTGTTCTACATACATCTAAGTTACTTTTACAAATTTTCTTTTCCGAACCTTTTTTATCTTAGTTTGCGAAATTTTATACAAAGAATTGTGATATAATAGTAAATTAATCCAATATATTCTCACTAAACATCTGGTACAGAATAGGCCACCCCTTCCTTTCCTATAGGTGTCGTAAATGGCGACCATAAGGTCGAGGGATGGGCAGTAGCATCCCTCTTAAAACATCACCAAAAGCCACACTGTGGTTACCAGCCCGCCAGCCAAACGTGACAACTATTAGTAAAACGCCCCTTATGGGGGAGGCTTTGTTCAGTAGTTGACAGTTAACAGCTGATACAACATATAACATTCACCTTAAAGCATATAAGTTCGAATCTGGTCAATATCAAAAATTTTGTGAAACACCTTCAAGATTCATAATTAATTCTACTAGTAGCGGTAGATTCGCCCCCTGGAATATTATATTCTTATATGCTGTGCGTAATATGGGCGCGTCGAATATTATGTTCACCACAATGGTGTTATTCGTAGGTATTAATCGATAAATGCCTTCAACTATCCCATTAAGTATACATACGTATCTAAAGATAATATTCTACTTCCTTTAGGTGTATCTAATCAAATAAAACTATTCTATAGTATCTCTGCAAATTAAGACTCATCCCTTCGCAATCCACTACAAGCAACTCATCCCGACTAAGTGCCACTTCTCGAGTGAACGTAACCTGGAGTTAATTGCAAGTAAATTGAAACCAGATTTTGTGTGGATTTTCAAACTTCCGAGACGAGGACAAAAGAATCAAGGCGTATTCTAAATGTCTACGGTTTCGAACTTTTGAAGATTGTAATAAGTAATTAAATAATGAGCAACCAAGCAATCAACAAATCAATTAGAATGGCAATTTAATAAAATACAAGTACATCTAATAAATTTGACTATTTTTTTTTTACTTTTCGCTATTTTATTTCATTAGAACAACCGTTTTTGGACTTTAACCTTTTTTCACCAATCGGGTAAAATAAGAGTAAAAATTTTGAAACCAATTATTTCAGTTACATTGCTTACCAAAAAATACCAACTGTTCAGTAAACAAAGATCCCAATGTATTCGCTGCTATTTCATCACATTGCTTTGTTTTTCATTGACATTTTAGGGGCAGCATTTTCCCGAATGCGACATGTAGCTAACTGCAACATAGCGAATGCTCTTCTATTTATGTTCCCCTTGATTTTACCACTCCAACATTCGTAGTATCTGGGGAAAATGTGTAGTATCATATATGTTACTTCAATTCAAAGTTGCCTGCTCAATTTATAACTTTGTATCAAAGGTTTGCAACGTTTACCTACCATTGGCAAAACAGAATTACTGCTCGTTGACTATTAGAAACATTACAACCAGTTACATCGTTATTCAGTACGATCATTTTGCCGTCTGGCTACTTAAGACACATCTTGGACAACAGTTATTTCCTTTAATTACTTCACATTTTATAATACCCACCGTTGGCACTGGAACGTAGCCAAGCGTTTAAAAAGTAAATTAAATTGGCTGCAAGTCCCGTTTAAACAAAAGGGTTACAAAGTCCCTGTTATGTTAACTGAATTCTGTATAAATGACGCAAATTTCCCTTGTGCAATTAATAGACTGACTAATTGGTAGAGTAGCATTGAAATTGTTAATGTATTTACCCAATTTATGTTTCTATTAAATAAGGTATGTCATATAATTATCATGTAATATATAATTGATTTATAAAATCAATTATGAGCAATAAAAAGTTATGTCTAACTCCGGTTATTAGTTTATTAGAATATTATCAAATGAACAACAATTATAAAAAATAGCCAAACCGGAAGTATCACAACTTTATACTTTTCAGCTAGCTATTACCCTTTTCAACTTACTTTTATTGCTATTACGTTAAATAAACTGAACCTTTTTGCTTTTATATTTTTTCTGTAATTAAAAGTGTCTATTATTCCCATGCAAAATTACATAAAAAGTATAATATATATACGTAGGCTATTTTATTACTTTTTGGATGGTATAGCTTTACAAAACAGATTTTTTTAAATTTATTTTATAATTAATATCCATAGTTTCAATTTTTTAATTTCAATTTATTTTGATATTATACTGATATTTAAGTTTAAAAATAATACAAATGTGTAACATTTATCTTATTGTTAAACTTAAATATTAGCTTTATAATTTGTACATTTTCAAGAACAGGAAAATGGATTACGTTCGAAAATCAACCCTGTATTTTCTTGTATATATAGTGGACACAAAATGAGAACGCACAAAATTGACATCGTATCATCCCTTTGAAATCTAAACTCATTACCTAACAGTACAAATAGCAGTATAAACAGTAATGTAGAGCGATAATCGGCAATTACATTAACAACACGTCCTCACTCCCCTCGTTTCCCAGAGTCGTGTCGAGTGTGGGCTGTTTGATTCTGTTTGTTATCGTAAAGAAGCGATGTTAGCCCGCTAATTGAATTTTTTAACTGGCTTGCTTCCGCGTGTGTCGTTCTCTTTTTAACCAACTTCCAAAAAGGGAGAAGAGCATTCTCTTATATACGTATACCACTCATTGAAACTTTTGAAATGAAATACGTGATTCATTGGTAATTTGAAATAACTAGTTCACATCTAGGATGTAAAAACATGTAGAAGGCTGTTTTCTGCATAACTAGCTCCAATTATAAAAATTACTTTCAGGGTAGTACAGTACTAATTTTATTATTTGAACTAGATTTTTGCGCAGTACTTCGTACGTGTAGATTTTAGAAAAAGAAAACCAATAAGTTATATCCCTTCTAGATAGCGTATTAATTGTAAGATAAAACATATACCAAATTTATGTTGGAACTTCAGGAATATAAATGTGAAAACCACAACTTACAGACAGATAAAATTTCTAAAAATTATTGTTTAGTTACAATTCAATATAAAGATTATGAACCTCATAGTGAGTTTATTTGTTACCTCTTAGCGTCTTAATCCGTCACTATGTAATTTGGTATATACGTAGTATATGGGATGGAGAATAAAGAAGAAAGAAGGCTACTTTTTATCTTCATCGGTGAACATATCTCGGTTAGATGGGCGAAGTCATGGGTAAAAATATTATTATTATTACAATAACTAGTTTTACTATATCAGTATAATTGTATTATTTTGAGCGTGTATGAAAAGATTGATGAATGTGGAAGAAGCGAAAGAGGTTTGTTTGAATCGAAGCATTTAGCGTTCATCGAAGCATTTAATGGGAGACAGGCGTGGCAGATATGTATGTATGTATGTATAATTGTAGTCGGCTATTTTATGTAAATATTATCATGTAAATATTTACATGTGACTGATCAATTACTATCCACCACTATTGTATAGCAAATTCCTGAGATTTGCTGCATTGCATCAAAGGTATCTGCTTTTGAAGCGGTTTTTGTTTCCATATAATTAGTTAAGAGGAATGTAGTATGAAACAATGCGTAATGAGAGGTACTATATAGCAATAGCTGCAATGTAATCGTTTAATCATTTTCCTTAATTATAACTACTACAAGTTAAATAATTGTACTATATACCTACATTCTGAATGCTATAAAAATCGTCTTCAATTGTGGCAAAACCAGTTAGTTATTTTGATAAAATATGATTTTAAATTTTTGTTTGAAAATTTGAATTGAACCGATTTCGATAAAATTTATATGGGGCGTAAGTATATTCTTTCAGATAAAAAATGATTTTTCTAAATCGGTTTATAACTAACGGAGTTATGAAGTACCTAACAAACAAAAAATATAACCGAATTGAGATCCTTCTTTTTTTTTTTAAGTCAGTGGAAAAGTGTGTATTGATAACAAGAATCCTTTATCAGAATCTATAAACTATATAAATTTTGTGATAGTAAATAGATACTCGTATAAGATTGAATATTAAATAAAGTGTATGACCACAGACAAATCTAAATGTAAATAGTTGACGGATGTAGCTTAATATGTATAAAAACCATTAGGAAAATACTATCTGTAATGTTGCTTACGTCAATCTCTTGTCTTTATACTTACTGCGATATGAATTTCATTTAGAAATACAAACCAAAATATAATTGTAATTCAAAATTTTTTACTTATTTAGGACCAAAAATTTATTGATAAAGTGCACAATTACTTAAAATCTACAATTTTTATACGAATACACTGTAGTCTATTCATATAAAAATTGTTTCTACTAGAGTACCCTCCACTTATCATTAAAAAAAATCTGTTATGTAAGAATAAGAAAAAAGAAAATAAAAATAATTTTATTTTTTGGTGATTTTTATAACAAAAGGAAAATGGCACTATAAATACTAGTATAGGGAGATAGGCGCAATTAATATATATGTATGTAATACTAACATCCACGTTCCTTATTATAAGATTTTGTTCTACATATTCATATTTTTCCATTGACGTATTTTATTTTTTCATTAGTATTATTTTCATTCCGAAGGCTATTAAAACATATAATCGCATGTCATCAAATTGAATAGACCAATCAACATCAGGTAAAGTATATAATTAGTGGCAAATACCCACAAACGAGATTCCTGATAATTAAGACGGTTCTGTTACAATAACTCAGTTGTTGTTGTTGGGGTGCGATGACAAATCAATTGTCATTTGTTAAGTGACTTTGTGATATTTAAATTAAGAAAATGATATACTTTTGGATTTATATACTGCTAAATGTAAACTTATTGTTTGTGTGCGGTGTACCAAAAGGTAGGTTTTTTAAGCTAATTACAAGTTATATAAGTATTTACCTATATATAGATATTGTGTAAAACAATTAACCTGTGTTCAATTAAAAATTAATAAATATATTTCTATTGTTTTACTTGAATTATTATAATTTAACTATTTGTTGGTAAATATAGATCATTTATAACATCTACTTAATTTAGGAAGTTACATCTCCATATACCTAGTCTTTAGGAATAGCATCACTGTTCATGTTCACTGGTGAGAGTTTCCACTATCAGGTAAGACGTCAATATATTTACCATTCAAAGTAAAATAAAAAATCCAATATTAAGTTCTGTTTTAATGGTAAAAGTCTACAAAGAAAAACATGTCCCTCGTCTGTGCAAGTCTATACCTACTATAAAAATGCTACAATTTTATTAGAAACTAAAAAATTTGCAATGTTCGCTACATGCTAATTTTCATGTAAAACAGTATATGTAAACTTTGCTTATGCTAATAGTGTGTCACTGCAATATCCAAGTGCTGAAGATTAACAAACCTGTGAGTTCGTGGTCACATGTACTATGTATGCAGTATCTACATTTATTTTTATACAATTTCAAAAAGAGAAGGTGATTCAGATTATTTGTATATTTTTTTGGTATTTCTTTTGCAATTTCAACGAAACATTATTATTGTAGCATAGTGAAAAAATTATGAAGGATATAAAATAAATAATAAGACGTAAGCTACCTCACACAATACCTAATTAAAGACTGAAAAATACTGTATTTAACTGATCATGAAACTGTGTACTTGTAAATTTAGAAAGGTACAGAAATATTTCGTACTTGTATTGTTGAAAAGACAATGAGTAACCTAGCTTGAACGTATTTTACGAGGGTGTATAACGTAGATTTTCTAATATCACTCATAGTATCTCTATACCCAACTATGGATATTTATAAATAATAAAGGAAGAACCTTGTCATTTTGAGTTATCAAACAGACTAAGTTTAACTTTCTAAGTATTACTTCCTCTATTAATACTTTACTACTAATGTAATTACAGAACAGTGTGAAGAATGTGTACCTGTGGAAAATTGTGCTTTTTATGGGCAATTGAACAATAAGGAAAAAGAAGACTGGGTGGAGAGATTTCAGTCTCAGTGTCAAGATTCCCAGACAAATAAATCAAGCCCAATGTTTGGATTCTCGTCAAAAGCGAAAGGAGATTTGGTAATATAGTTTCAGTATGTATTACAATACGAGAAAAAACTATTCAATATACCTATTGGGGGTAAATTTAATTCACTTTATTTGATTTGGTCCTCTTATTATTTAAATGGTTATTTAAAAAAGGGAAATTTTTGTTTAAAGATAAACTCAAAAAATACTTAAATAAATTTAAATATTCTTTCACCTATATCAGTAAGTTACATAAGCTGTATTTTATTTACAAAATAAAAAGCAAATCTAACACTTCTTTAGTGTTGTAAAATCTTTGACTGTACTGGAATATTACTTCAAATTATTATGTAATTAAAGTATTAATTCTAAGAAAGATTTATTCCTTTATGAAATCATAAATAATAGTAAAATAAAAATCTCCCATTAACTCAAAAAATTGTCAGAAGATATTTGGCAATAAACTGACACAAAGTGAATGCAAGTGGCAAAGGATAGACAGGTATGGAAAGATGGAGAGATATATGTCTGAAGAAGAATAGTTAATAGTAGTAAAACATTGATGGATAACATTATTATATTTTCCAACCGATTGATGGATAACATTAATATAAATTTCACTTAATATTTCCTTACTGCCGTTTAAGTGTTAAACAAAATGTTTTCACAATTTTACATTTATATTAATTATTACAAGTTTACCTATAAGTAATCACTAACGAACATAATTTAATTGTAAAAATTAATAAACAAGACATAAGAAAATCGTAACAAGTAATAAACTATTGTTTAATTTAATAAACAATTATTAACGAGCTACTGTTCAAAATACAGTTTTGTGCGAAATTGCATTTTCATTATCAGTGTACAATGAAGTGATTTATTACAAAATAAACGTGTCATTTCATTATTTTGCTGCAATGATAATGCCTGTATGAAGTGACAAATTGATTGCATAAATAAACAACCAATGCAGTACGTTTTTTGTTCAATTTTTTTAATGAAATATAATATAAAGTTTACAACATTAATTCTACAGATACGATTAATATTTCATATCAAAACACGGGTAAATATTTCTAAACTTCCCCTATAGAACGTTTAAATAATACCTTTATATGTTTATCTGATATATTGATAAATTTATCTATATGATGTCTATATCTATATATATTTCAATTTCTAGATCCAGTACTATTTTAATAATATAATAAAATTGTAAGTAGATGAGCAATACTTATTTATAATTAATATAAGGGAATAAAAGTTAAACAAATTTTTTTTTGAAATTTTGGTCAAAAATCTACAAAAAACTTAAAAAATATTACAAATATTCTCTATACCTACTTTGCAATATATAACAAAACGTACTGTACCTGTTTTATCTTTCTGGATATATACTTAAACGATTAATTAATTTTTTTAATTATTATCGTTTTTAATAAAATGTTAATATGATATTAATATTATGAAAGTTAATAAAGATATTTAGGTGCTTATTATTGAATCACTCGAAACAGTTGCTCAAATTTAAATAAATTTTAGTACACGGATATACATTTGTTAATTATTTCTAGTTTAATAAAAGGGATAGATACATTTTATGCTAATTGACTTAGATAAAAAACAAACAAAAAACTTTAAGAAAAGAGCATATTCCCTTTTAAAGCCCGGCAGCACACCTGCAATGCCGTTGGTGATGTGGGTGACCATGGCCGGCGGTAGTCGCTTACCATCAAGTGAGCCGCATGCTCGTTTGCCCCCTGTGTTGTAAAAAAAAGGTCACTTCTAGTAGATACTGAAGTATATTTTATTTCAGGTATGCTGTCCAAATTTTATTTGGGGGGCGGAAAACAAAAAACGACCATCAAATAATTACCAAATCAATTTAAGTAAAAATAACCACAACAGCCATAAACCATCAACTGAACCTAATGTACAAAGAGTAAAAACTGAACGTTTACCTACATATGAAAACCAGAACCACAACGCAGACATCAAGAATAATAAAAATTTCGATATCGCTAACATGTTCGGAGGTTTACCCGATAATAATTTTAATAACATGTATAATCCATACCAGCAGGGCCCCTGGTATAATAACCGAAAACCAATGTCAAATCCTATACAACAAGGTTTCGTACAAAATCAGAATCCCTATTTCCAAAGTGTGAATAGGAATAATAATATGGAGGGTAATCCTTTTGGGGCGGGTAATTTAGGAGGTCAGTGTCCAGTAACGAGCTTACCCCCCGATAGTCAAAGTGGATGCTGTGGACGAGAGGCAACCGATCCTGATAGGATTACTGGTAGATATGTTTTGAAAGATATATTTCTTTTTAAATCTCATCATATGGCTTGATGTTCTAACAATTTTATTAATATTAATAATCCTTAGACATTATCAGAGGGAGACTTTATACAAAAGTCGTTTGTTTGGGTACCTCTGTCCCATTCGTGTTTCCACCGTGAAGCAGTTGTATTTGAATGGCTGTGTTTCAGTTTGAAAGGTGGGATATGGCAGTGAATTTACAGGACACAGAGGAATAACAGCTGAGTCCTAAGAAATGGCAACGCATAGGGAGTATCATGGGTGAAACATACTCTGTTATGTCCATGGTACTGCTCATGTCTATAGGCGACGTCAGCTTATTTGCCATTCTAAGTTGCATTAAAAGAGACATATTACACAATTCTATCTAGTTATAAAATAAGCAAAACTTATATTACGACTATTAAATAACTGACAGGAATATTAAAATACTTTTCTTTATTAATATATACATATTACCTAAATCAATAACAATCAGTCATAAATACAAATGTTTATAATGTTCAGGAATCGAAATCGCGATCATAAGAAAATAAGGCGATATGTTAAACTATGTAGTTGAACAGCTACACTACAAAGTTGTCATTAATTAATGTGTTCAATTTTGTTAAACTGCATTTTATTCATAAATGCTTTAAATAATTCCCTTATGTATCACGAATGAATACGGTTTATTTTTCCACGTTTCTATTAATTAGTTTTTAGAGTTTTCTAGAACAACTAAATACCTACTTTTGATAACATTAAGTAAATGACATATACGATGGACTGTGGTTTTCTATACTAATTTTAAACGAGGAAAATTTTATTATTTAAACGTAATAGATAAATACAAAAACTACTCCATTGATTTTTAAAATTATATTATTAGAAAGCTACATTATCAGAGAGTAAAGTAGGTTATACATTATTTTTAAAAATTATATTTACCCAAGCGAAACCGAGCCGGATTTGTAGTATACATTAACTATTACTATATCGTTATATTATATGTTAACTTATCAAATATTTGTACGCATTAAATATGTCTCTATATGTTTATGAATAATTAATAAATAAATAGTTACTTTCTAATTTCTAATTAATTGAAAGATACATACTAACCGTATAATTAATAAATAACACACAATTGCACAGCTATATGTAACAATAATAAAATTTATTATTTATTCACCTTTTTAGCACAATCACCAAATTTTAGCCAAAATCGCTGGAACTCTCGTTACAACAGGGCATATCCTCGAATTAATTCCCCTTTGAAGCTATGGAAATCTCCAATGGATAATTATAGAAATTATGGTCGATACAAACGATCTCCTGATGAAGAAAAAGTGAATGTCACCATAGACAACCGCATAGCAGGCATGTAAAGTTAAATAAAGTAAAGTAATTTTGTACATTAATATACCAAAGATTTAAAAATGTTTTTTTACAACAAATTTTCTGATAAGAACTATTATATAAAATACAGCAATTGTTTTAGATATTACCTAGTTAGTTCTTGCAAATTCCTACAAATATTCTTGTAGCCACGAAATTGTTACCGTACTTTTATTATATAAACCAAAATCCATTTAAATATGTTTTTAAAAGAAATTTGTTTACTTTTGTAAAAACTAAAAGAGAGATATATCCTTTATCTATCTACTATACGTCCCTTTTCTACTTTATAAGCATATACAGTGAAACTTGGTTAAGTGGGACCTGGATAAGGGAGAAACCTCCATAACTTAACTTATGCTGAGGTCTCAACACTTTGGCACTAAATTTAGTTAGTGGGACGAAATAAACTACTATATTTGGGTTCCGTTCTTTCGATTTTATAGTCACAGTTAACTCTATAATTTAGACAACGAGTGAATTTTATTTCTATTAACCTCTGTAACTAAGACAACATCAATTTATTACCTCTCTAACTTGGGCTATTTTGCATTTCAATTTCTTACTTACTTATTTTTATTCTACCCGCAAATTTTGCACTTAAGTAAAGACAATCAGTGCCCACAAATCAATGTTTTTCTGGCGATGAGGTTTGCTAGTAAAACTTTGCACAGTTACTTTGAAATGATATCAATTGGTGACCAAAACATATTTGATAAAATTTATATCTTAGAAAAACATCTAATGGCTGATACTTCTAAAAGACAAACAAAAATGACCGATTCCTTTTATCGATACATTCTGTTTACATTTTTGTATTATTTGTAAAAAAACGTGTTTGAATATTTTGTTTATTACATTTATTACCTATAATATTATTATTTTTATTTCTAAGATTAAAACTTACGTATAATTATTAGACAACACGTTAAATAATTTAATAACCGTAATTTCACAACTGAAATAATCTGTATTCTGACCCCTATTAATGAAACCCTCTGTAAATTAGACAGCTATATATTTATATATGGATAACTGAGACACTGGGCAAGTGAAATACCTCTGTAAGCAAAGTAAACTTAAAGGTCTCTTGATGTCTTATTTAACCAAGTTTCACTGTATATACTGACAGTATTATGACCACATAAGTAATTCTAATTAACTTAATTCTTATATCCACGTGATATTATTGGTTACAGGTGGTAAAGAAACAGAATTAGAACAATTCCCATGGACAGTTTTATTAAAAACCACATTTGACTATGTAAAAAATACAGCATCCTTCAGCTGTGGGGGTTCGCTTATTAGTTCTCGTTACGTGTTAACAGCAGGACATTGTGTTGTTGATGAAGGTGCTATTGTCATAGAGTAAGTGTACACATATTTAATTATTTATTTTTTCATCAGCTTTTGTTTTTTGTACAACTTAGTTTAACAAGTTTTTTTTTTAATGGGTGATAATGGAATGATAACTCCACCCGCGCTATCGGTATACACCGGCGGAGCACCAGTGAAGAATGATAGGTGAGGATGAAGCAGGCCAGTTAGCCCATCGTGACGAATTCAACAAGAATTGTTCACGATGGTTTCCAGGGGGAACCACGTGGAGGTCGACCTGACAGGATATATTGCCAGTAATGGGGCTATTTGACCCCATTACTAACAATCCCTTTACCCCCAGTTTAACAAGTTGACCACTAACCTGACGGGAAGAAGTAAACGTCGCCTACAGACATCAACACCCCTCATGTGCTAATCCTGAAAAATAAGATATTAAATATGATTTTGCAAGTGCTCTATCTGAAAGACGAAGGTCTTTCACCAGTGCATGTCGCCAGTGATGACTTATGGAGCCGATATATAGTTCTACACGGTTGCTTACATGCAAAAGCTTCAAATTACTCAGCGAGCTATGGAAGGGCTATGTTCGGAGTTTCTTTGTGTGACCGAAATTTTTTTTTTATACCACTGAGGTGGCAAACAAGCATACGGCCCACCTGATGGTAAGCGGTTACCGTAGCCTATGAACGCCTGCAATACCAGAGGTATTACGCGCGCGATGCCGACCCTGAAGAAACCTCTTTATCCCCCTTTTGAAGAACCCCATGCTGTAGTCTCTTGAGAAAACCTCGGCAGGGAGCTCATTCCATAACCTGAGTGTTCGTCAAAATATGAATATCCATTAAAGAACGAAAGATAAGCAAGCTGAAGTGGCAATGGGCTGATCATATAGTTCGAAGAAGTGACAACCGATAGGGAATAAAGGTTTTTAAGTGGCGATCCCGTACGGGCAAATGCAGTGTACGACGACCCCCCACTAGATGAAATGACGACCTCAAATGTATTGCAGACAGTCAGAGGATGCAGGTGGCTCAGGAACATCGCTTATGGTAGTCTGTGACCTCCTATATGTTCAGTATTACAGAAAACGGTTGAGTTATAAGTATTTTGTAACTTCAATGGCACATCCCTCCCATCAAATCAAAACACATCATTAATCCTAGAAATTATAGAGGACATAATCACTTAGATGGATAGTTTTATTACTTTTTGTCTATTTTTGCGACTTCATTCTATTCCATTTTTTATTATTTCATTTTTGATTGAGGAAACTATATTACTTGTTCCAGTGTCGAAGTATACTTATCTGAGTTTGATAAGCGAACATTTCCAAAAGATTGCAAAATAGTATTTGGCAAAGGACAGAAGTGTGTGGAAAATATAGTGATGCATGCTGAAGACGTTATCTCGCATCCAAACTACGACGAAAATAGGCTTTATAATGACATAGCATTGATAAGACTTCGCGGTAACGCGCCTTATACAGGTAAACTAATTATGAGTAAATAATAGTATTTATTTATTGATATAAATGTTATTGGATACATAAAATGTTACGTCATAATTCAAAATGAAAAACAAGCCGACGGCCTACCTGATGGAACATGGTAACCTTTGCCCATAAACAAGAACAGCAACATAGATTCACATATTATTTTGTGATGCTTACACCTAATGCATTATCATTCTTAGCAACAGTATGGTGCTTTGAAAAATCTATAATATATATATTTTATTATTTGTAAAACCAAAATACATCTATAAGAGTCTAAAATCTAATCACGGCTATTTGGTGAGAGAAACAGACGAGTATGCATTAAAATAATGATGAGAGAATTTTTTGTTATTTACTATTTATTTATTTATTTATTCATTAGTACAAACATGTGTACATGGCGGACTTAATGCTAAAAGCATAACTAATCTATATATTGCCAATTAAGCCAGTAAATATTGTTTTGCCCCGTATCATATTTTTTTTTTAATTTTTGTTATCGGGATAAAAACTATCCATTCTCCAAATTGGAGCAAACAATATTTACAAAATTTACAAAACTTCATTAAAATCGGTTGAGCGGTTAGCGAGAATTAATGACATGAAAATTTTTATTTATTAAGGTGTACCACAGTCTTATTAAATAATAACCTAACTTAACCCAAATGGGTTAATATATTTTTTTTCCCATTTAGGTCGGATATAAGATTATATCCGACCTATTTGCTTACCACCTATTAATATCGATGACCCGGATTTCTTCAATTTACGACTGTCGGTCGCTGGCTGGGGTCGCAATGGTAAATATAAATCCGACATCAAACAATCGACTTTCGTGAATCTAGTACCACAAAGGCAATGTGTGAAATATTATCCGCATTTATCGAAAATGCAACTTTGTGCGGCGGGGCATTCCGGTGAAGACACATGCAAAGGAGATTCTGGAGGTCCACTAATGATGGTTTACGAAGGAAAGTACTTTGTAGCTGGTGTGGTCAGCGGCAAGAGAGCCGACTCGCCGTGTGGTACATCCGTACCATCATTATATACCAATATTTATCATTATTTACAATGGATAGGTGAGCACATAAAAAATTAAATTATTAAAATATTTAAGTGTACATATGTTGTCTGATACATTAATTTTATTAAATTAATTTTTCCTGACAATATTAAATGTTTACAACCTGCATTTTTTATTTTATTTAGATATTTAAAATTTGAAGCACTACCAAGAACCATAAGAATAATATATATCTCTGCAATAATGAGACTGTTACATTTTACAAGAATTGACTGATTATTTTTTTATTGTTGATAATGGAATGGTAACCCCGTCTGCGCTAACAGTATACGCTGGCGGGGCATGGTGAAAGGTAATGAATGAAGATGAAAACAGAGGGCCTACCATGAAGTGTTTTCCGAAATTTCGGAGCCAAACAAAACACAAATTTGATGTTAAAATTACATAATACATGTCGTTTTGAAATATTAAAAATGTTAAAATATTGTCCCTTTGGAGTTTTATGGAAGGATGTATGCCGAACGAAATGTTAAATTCCATTTATTGATCCGCATTTGGTATAAACAAAAACACGAAATTAAGTCCGATATTTCGGAATTTCATTTCATGGTAGACCCGCAGGTCAGTTGGTTCGTTGGTTGGAAATATTACTAGTAATAGAGCTGTTTGACCATATTACTAATAATCCCAGGATTAATAGATTATGGTCCTTGTATATATGTAAGTTAAAATCAAAATCAAATCGGTACGTAATGTACCCATACTATATACCATTTGGACAGAACTTACATGATAAAAAATTTCAAAGAATTTTAAATTCTCTATACTACTCATAATTTAACAGCTAAATGCGCCATATTAACACGGGAGGTTCAAAACCTTTTATCGTTTTTGGACTCATGTTTCTTTCAAAGGCTGCTAACAATTCAAATTTCATCCTATATTTCACACTATCATAATATACATATAGTAAGTGAAAAAATATTTAAATCCGTATAGTAATTATTCTATAACCTTTCCAACGTACAGTGCCATTGATATCAGTATTGGTGCAATACAACAATGAAAAGTGAAATAAGCATTCGCACATACAATAGAGTCCCAGTTTGATCAATAAAAGATATTACCTTATGTAAATATGGTAAAATTAACTTCACAACATAAATATAAAATACTTAAATAGTTCATAAGTATATTTTAATTGACTGCATGACTCTTATAACAGTTGCAGCATTGTCGCAAAGGACTCACTTGAAAGCACTCTTCTTACCCCATATAAAGCAACACAATCCGGCAGGAGGCTGGAGTACACTTAAATGAGCAAACACTATTATCAGGCGGCCGAGGGAGTGCAGATTTCCCAAGAGTGCCCTTCTCCTTAAAAGTGTCGGACGAATGACCGCTATTCGCTGCACGAAGCGGGAACGGATTTTTTTTTTCTAAATAGATGTGACACAAAAGACAAAGGTTTCGAGGGTAGTATGCGTGTTAAAATAAATTGCAAATATATATGTGTATATTACATTATTTGATATATTATATTACTTATATATGTTCATATCACTTAAAGGTACTGGCTTTGTAACTCTTTTTACTTGAAATAGTTACTTTAGCCACTTTCATAACTCATATCATGAATGCGTGCCGGTTTTTATATATATGTTTCAAAAACCATTTATCTGGCATTCTACAAACCAATAACAAACTCTTTCTCGCAGTATTGTATTATGAATTTTATTACATAATAAACTAATATAATAACTATTTAAAATCGATTTTTAGATTACACAAAGTCAAAAAGAATTTCAACCACGTAATGCAGCCTACGAACCACAAAATGACAATATTTTTATGATCTAAACATATATTTGAATAACTTAGGAAAGTTGTCTGGGATTCAATCTTGGGACTTCCGAACCATTGACCGACTAACCTAAGACTACTTATCTACTGTTAATATTAACTATTAATATTGTTTCTGCAAACGTTCTACTACGTGTTTCACTTAGGTTCTCTCATGCACTCAACTTTCACTCCACTTGGGACCACTCGTACGCTCGATACACTGAAACCCACAAATGACGTTTCAACTTGTCTCCTAGACGAGTTTTACGTTGTATAGTTAACAGAAACAAAGTAAGTACAAAGTTGTGGAAGTTCGATTATCTAGATTAAATCTGTAAAGTTATTTTATAGTTACTTCAAGCAAATTGAACTATTTACTTATGGAAAAACATAGCGTATGAGCAGGTTTATATATCTCCTAAACGAAATTTCAAGACAGTTACATTAATAATTTTAATAATTGAATGCGCGGAGTTATCTACTACATTTTGGTGTCTAACTATATTATTTCTACGATGTCTTCTACTTGTACATATAACTCAGAACATTAGGAGTCCGTGGCGACTCTACACACGCAAACGCAATCTATGATGACCTTCCATTAAGATGCAGTTATTTCATTTAGTTTTACCAGAGGGAGACTTTGTACAAAAGTCGTTTGCTTGGGTACCTCTGCCCCATTCGTGTTTCAACCGTAAAGCAGTTGTAGTTGCATGGCTGTGTTATATATATAAATATATTACTTTTAGTAAAATATTAATTTTCACGTTAAGTAACAACCAATACCAAGTACCTATTGGGAGGAATTCTGCCTTTTTTAGCAATCTATAGAGGCTAATCAATGCTTAGCGGTAGACAAGAAAAAATTAAGTAATAATCAAAATGAAAATTATAAAACTGTAAACATGTATAATATATAGGTACCTATATATTATATATATGTAATATTATATAGGTATACTGATGCATACAGTCTAATATAATAAAGCATCAAAGTTGGTTTTGTATTGTTTTCAATTGGTAGATAGGTATGGTTGTTATTTACATGGGTGAACGACTTTAAAAATTAACATATTTTGTCGTTATCATCGCCAGATTCGAAACACAAATCGATTTATTTTCACAACATAAGTCTATATGGAGCGGGATTTGCCCCACCGGACCGCGTAAATTTATGTAAAATCAATGCAACAAATAAAGAACGATACGGCGGTAAATATGTACGGCCACGTCACAATTAGCATGCGTCCCGCTGGGACAGACACGTTTTGTTGTAAAGTTATTTTTTATGCTTCTTTTACACATCTGGGAATAAATCACTTGTTAATAACAAATTTTATAACTTTTACTATTGTTTAACTAGTCCTATTGTTTCGTTAATGTTCTCCTTATGTCTATCAAAGGCTTCTTAATAATAAATTTGAGAAATAAAATATTGACTTCACAGAACTAAAAATCCTTGATAATATTATGAATATAAAATCGAATTAGTTTGTTTGATTATTTATTTATTACCACTTGATGCTCAACAAGTTCTCACGAAATCGGGTTTTTTAAAATCATATTTTGAATGGAGAAGAATAGAGGCTACTGTTTAATCCTGGTCGTCGCAAAGAAAGTCGTGGATAAAACCTAGTATCACAAAATATTACAATAACATTATTAGTATCATCCTTCACAAATTGTCATAAAAAACTGCTTCGAGTTATTGCATACACTGACACCCTACTACGCAGTAGAGGTCGTCTGTTGATAAATGGAGTCGCCCTGTGTTTGCCCACACAAAGTCGTCACTTTAATACCATTATACAAATCTATCGTTGACCATATGTATGGGCAACTCATTAGCATTGTACGAGATGCAATCAGACAATCTCCATATTACTACTTTAATACTTATTACATATAGTGTAATATTACTGAAGTATGTAGGATATGTCTGATATTGCGGGCACCTATCGGCAGCAGTAATAATTTATCATCAGCTGATGAACAAAGGAAGACTTCGTACAAAAGTCATTTTCTTGAGTACCTCTACATTCATGTTTCAACCGTGAAATAGCCATACTTCACGGTTGAAACACGAATGGGACAAGAGATATCCAGAAAAACGACTTTTGTACAAAATCTCCCTCTGGAACAAGTAGGGTGGGCCCTTCAAACCGAAATATAGATATTTTATTTAATTTATTATTAATTTACAAAGCAGTTTAGTTATTTAGTTATCAATATGCTAGAAAGCTGGCTGCCTTTTGCGCATACCGGCTCGCCTTTCACATAGTTTATTTACAGAACACAATACGCGATCATAATTGCTCAAGGTTAAGCTCAAGTACAATAATAATAACTATAAGAAGGTAGCACGATATTTAAAAATAGTTAGGTAGATAACTCATTGGCAAAATTACGGTATTAGTAAAATAAGTGGCGCAATTCATCGAGTCCGCTGTCCACGCACACTAATGAAGCAATGCGCTTTCTAATACTCATACAGGATGTTCCCTTTATACAAATAAGATCATTTTTTATATTTATTTTTTAATATATCATTTGTATAGGTTTTTAATAAAATAATCTTTAAGAATATATTTAATGTTTTTAGAATTTATTTCTTTTTAGTATCATTTAGTAAATTGTTTATTAAATTTGGAATAATATATCTATTATATGTATTCGCTTTCCATGCAAGTTATTGAACGACGGTTGAAAAAACTTTTTATTTGTGATATTTCTGATTTGTTTTAATATGTTGGGTATTTTCTTGTAAATGCAAATTAAAAAATTGTGCTATTAATATGATTCTTTTGACTTTTTCATTAACTATTATTAATTGACAATACGAAAATAATTTATGATAGTCATTTCTGTATTGCATTTTTACTCTACGCGTACAATACACTTCAATATACGAATCTATAATGCATAAATTTGAATCAGGTTAGTTGTTCGACCGTAACTACTTAGGCCGTAGGATATTATTGACTCGCCCAATGATTCGTTTAAGTAAAGCAATACAGGGTAAGGAACATTATTTTTTACAATTGCAAATTTAGCTAGGATTGCACGCAGTTTATCACATACATATTGTATATGATCATTCCATGACTATCAATTGCCAATAATCATACCCAAGTATATATGACTTTTAACAACTTCTACAACACTGCACCCAGTTACACAAATATTTGTATTAGTATGAAGACAACTGTGACTGTGTGCGAGGTTTATTGGAAATATTTTCCTATTTTGGCTAGTGCTTATATACATTATTTTAGTTTTGGCAGGATTTAGTAACCTAACTAACCCCTGGTCGTGAGAACATTTACATAAAATGTTAAAATCTGCTTGTAATTTGTCGAGTGTTGACTTATATCACCGTCGGCAACGAGTAAGCAAGTATCATCTATAAATTGATATACCTCACAGGACTTAATCGCAGTTATAACATTGTTATGTAGTGCAGTGGTCCAAGTCCTGATCTCTGAGCTGTTCCCCTCTTAATCCAAACCTTGCCACCAATGGCTTTATCAACCTCGTAAAACAACATGAAAATGATAATCCTATAATACTAAAAATAATACTAAAATATACAATATGGCAGTGAATTTACAGGGTACAGAGGCATAGCACCTTAGTCCTCAGAAATAGCAACGGAAGGGAGGTATCATGGACAAAATAGTATACTCTTTTATGTCCATGGTACTACTCATGTCTATAAGTGACGGTTAGCACTTTCCATCAGGCAAGCCCTCAGCTTGTTTGCCATTCTAAGTTGCATAAAAAAAAGGTAAACCATGCATGCTAATTGGTTCCCTATGTTATAAAAAGCTATTTATTTATTTACTAGGTACTTCGTCATAAATACAAAAACACAATCGTAACATATTATGAAATAACAAACAAACGATTTGCCTACTTAGTAACTATAGATAGTAATTGGACCTAGTTAGTTCCTTATACTATAATCTAATAGAGGTATTCCTAAAATATCAAAAACATGGCAAAAATATAAATTATTATAAAGATTGTATTTCCTTTTATTTATCAACTAATAATGATCACTTACGATTAATATTGATAAATGTAACTAAAATAAAACAAGTATGTAATAAGTAGATCTAACTGTCCCAAAATCTTTGAAGTGCGTTAGACCGAAAAGTGTTTAATTATTTGTGGTGTATAATATTGGAACATTTTAGTACAGATCGAATCCTGAATTAAGTCAACCAGAAACACAAGATTGTTTCCGTCCAATAGGTCTAATCTCTCAGATGGGTATTCGTGCCGAAACGATCCTCTTTTATTGGCGTCTCTTTGCCAAAGTATTCGACATTTTCATCGCATTGCAAGACTAATTTTAATGTTTACCGATACTTCTTAGAATTGGCTCATTTACAGGTAATATAGACTTGGAACAATGGTTACGGGGGAAGTGAAATAGATTCACAGACAATATAGTTGATATACTAACTGCAGCCCGCAGCGTTGTTTGCACTAGTTAGGGAAAAACGATGTCGAAGTTTTAGCTTCGCGTAAGTTTTATAATTTTATAGGAAAGTATAACATAATGGAATTAACAAAAAATCTAACTTTCTGATCTGATCAGAGAACCCACACTACTTTTAACGAATTTCATAATAATAGGGTTTGATTTTATTTATCTTGCTGACGCAATTGAAATAATGAAATCCTTCAAAAATATTACAAAGAGCAACGGAAAAAATATAGCAATTCGAAAAAAATCATGAAACTGAAAACATTCCCAAAGGACATTCGTCGATATTTCACGAATGTATCTAAATATAAAAGTTTCTGAAAGTATTAGGCTGCCTATTGACCCATAATATACTTATACTTTTTATCTTAACTCTCGCGGGCAAATCGATGGCGTGACCGCTCTGATCTAACATTAAAAATATTCCTCGGGCATAATCGATTAGTTTCACAAGTACTGTCATTAGACTCCTGACTATTATAACCCGGGTAAATGTCTGTTTATTCATATTGATGATAGATGATAAAACTTTATATGAGAAATCAGTTTAAGATACGATAGGGCTGATATACCTGAAAAAGGAAAAAGCACTAAAAATAAAAAAAAAATGTCTCTTGATCCGATTATTTGCCATGCTGTCCAAGATATAATATAACCATAATTTTCGACACGATTTATTCCATCGGTCTTTGAAACATATCGCACGCGTCTATTATTTTACCTTTCTTTAACAGAATCTGGACTAAATTTTTTTTTTATAATTTTGCTTCACATTACATCCACTTTAACTACTTCAACGTAAATACTAGTTTAGCAGTCTTATTTTAACCTATCATATTGGGAAAAAATTGCATTATATGATAGAATATGGATAAGCACTAAGTTCTGATAAAGTTATGTTTCTCGACATTAGTTACGAAAGTGACTGAAGAAGGAGATCCATGTGAGGATAGAAGCATTCAATACACTATGCCTACTTTTCAAGGAACTGGGATAAAAAATAAATAGAACTTTCGACGCAGTCAATACATCCACTTTATTGTGTTTTATTCATTTGAGGGTCTGTTTTTATTAACCACAATCTTCTATGGGAATGTAAACATGAAATTCATTGTACATATGTAACGAAATACGAAACTCGTTTCATATTCAAGTCGGTCGGGATCGTATGGGGTCCAGTTTCTGTTTGTACCTCTTCATACGTGGACTTATTTTTAAATCTTTAAGATTTTTTAAGATAATTTTTATCAGCATTGATTAATATTAGGTAAGTATATTTTTATCTATATTCAATAAAATTATATAGATACTCGTATGCGTAATAATTTAAAAGTATTATATTAAAGAACTAGCAATCCAACCCGGCTTTGCATGAGTAGATAGAATTTTCGAAAATCAATACATATAATAAAAAAGGTTTCAACCAATTCCATTGATCGGTTATTTTGTAGCATTTCATATATGATTCTTTAGATTGATATAACTTTTTTCTAATAAACCGATTGAAATATAATAAACATTTAATGATAGGTGGAGCAAACCGCAATGCATTAGTTAAAACCGCATCCAAATCGGTTAAGTCGTTTCTAGAATTAGCATGTACGCAAACGTACATACAAACAAACAGATAAAAATTCAAAAAGACATTGTTTTGGATTCTATTGCTTTTAGAAAGCCCCCTATAATAGATTTTTTTTTTATATGTCTTCGATGTTCAGACAGCGACCAGTTACAATTTTATTATATCTATTGATAAAATTGTAACCGTTTGGTCCCGTCATAGAATGGGGGTCACCCCTTCCTTTGCCGCGGGCAGCAATGTCCCTTTAAAAACATCACCAGTCTAAGTGCGGTTGCTAACTCGCCTGCCAAGCGTGGCAACTACAGGCAGAACTCCCCTTATAGAGGGAGCCCATGTTCAGCAGTGGACAATTAACGAATAATATGATGATGATATTAATGAACAATATTTTGAAATCTTTATCTTATTGATTTTTTTTTTTTCTGTTTGTATAATAATAACGTTTCACAAAAAAAACTAAATTGATTTTGACAAAACACAGTGCCTATATTGAACTAAATATAAGTCAATAGGTGGGTGGTCCATAAAAGTTTTAAAAATTAACTCCTAATGAGGGTAAATTGATATTACCAGCTAAAGGTGTACAGCTAAAAATATTGTACATTGCAAACGTAGCAAGCACAGCCAGTCAGTTTTAACAAGTCCACGTAGAAATACATTACCTTTCTAGAAAAAAAATAAGTATTTGTAGTTCTTGTAAAACGAGTATTGTATGTTTACAGACGTTCGTGGTATTTAATAGTATATTATAATTAGTAAACAGCATAATTAATTAATAAAAATATGTCACTAAAACGAGTTGTGGCTATTACCGGATGCGACAGCGGACTCGGCTGGGCAATAGCGGCAAGATCAGCCAGGGAAGGTTTGATTACCGTGGCGGGAATGTACAAGGGCACTGAAACAAAAGCGGCACAGGCATTGATGAAATTAAAAGTTCATCCATTCGCTCTGGACGTCACTGATACCAAAAGTGTTACTGTGTTCAGAGATTACGTAATGTCACTCCTAGCAGAGAACCCTAATTACAGTAAGTATGTCTTAATTCAATCATATTTTTATTAAATTTACGAGTATGTTACTTACCTATGTGTAAGGCAGCTGTGGGTAGTAAGAAAATACTCGCAGTAAAAATCTTCACTACTATTTCTCTAGAGTCAGCTTCGATTAAATGTGTTCAGTTGCATTCATTATTTATACATATCAACACAACATCACAACCGTAAAGCAGTTGTTTGCATGGCTGTGTTTCGATTTGAAGGGTGGGATATGGCGTGAATTTACTAGGTACGGAGGAATAACACCTGAGTCTTCAGGAATGGCAGCGCATGGGGGGTATCATGGGCGAAACAGTGTACTCTGTTATGTCCATGGTACTGCTCATGTCTATAGGCGACGGTTACCACTTTCCATCAGGTGAGTCGTCAGCTTGTTTGCCATTCTAAGTTGTATAAAAAAATCAATATTGCGTATATTATTATTATTTATATATTATTAGCAGATAGGGAGTATTGCGCATTTCAAAATAAAAAAAAATGTAATGACTTTTCAAAAGTGCTTCAATGTAAGTTTATTTGAATAAATGATTTCTATTCTATTCTATTCAAAAATCTAGATACAATAATTTATTTCATTCCTTGGTCATTTCCAAAGTTATGCCTCTTCTTTTATTTTGCAGATCTTCATGCAATTGTGAATAATGCCGGCGTAATGACTGTAGGAGACTATGAATGGCAAACACCAAAAAATATAGAGAATACCATAAATGTGAATTTATTGGGTGCCATGAGGGTAGTAACAGCATTTTTACCTGATCTGCGGAGAATTGCTTTGGATGTAAGTATCGTTTGAATTAATGGCCTTTATCCAAAGCTCACCCTCATTAGTCATTAAATAAACGAAAGGAAGGTAAATAAGATTATATTTTTTTTTTTGTTGGATTTGGATACAACTTAAGTACCTCTTTTGGGTGGAATTTGGGTATTTTCGTATTTCTGACAATATCCCGATTATCCTGATATAAAAGAAAATTTACCAAAGAATTTGTGAAAACAGATCTTTAGATAAAATATAATAGGAAATGTATACACGGTTATTTTGTCTTTGATGTGTATGAGAGAAGTCGGTGAGTGATGAGTTTCAAGACTCCTACCTGCCTAAATATGAATATAAAATAAATTTCCGGCAGTTTTTAAATGAAATAGATATATTATATATTATACATTGCTAGTAAAATTTAATACTTTGGATACATTGTAAAAATATTGATTGATTAAATATTTGTATTCTATGAATTACGATACCAAGAATACGATAAACTTTTCTTCATAAATTAGAAGTTAATATTCGAAGACATTAAAAAAATATATAAAATATTAATAATATTATTATATAATATATTATTAAACATTTTTAGTACAGCAGGTACTTGGTTTTGTAAAAAATAAAAAAAAACAAACTATAATTCTAAGTAAATATAAAAGACATAACGGAGTGGTCAAACAAAAGAAAGACAACAGAAGAAGGTACGGAATTACTCAAACTCATATTTACTGTCTGTGAAAATAAAACGGATGCGGTTGGCGTTTCCTGTGACTAATTTCAATTTTAATTATATAAATACATAATTGCAAATAATTTACGTACATTGCAACATAAAAATATGTTTTTACGGCGTCGGTTATAGACATACAATTTTGTTGCTGAAATATTATAAAAAATATTTTGGACATCAAGTAGTTCATAGACTTATGACTTCTTCCTTTACATAAGATGTCTTTTTTTATTTGTTTTCGTATACTGAAATAGAAATAAACGAAAAACATATGTCGCCGCCCTCAAATAACAAATAATTGAATTAAGGGCAGGAAGATGATAATGAAGTCTCTTTCCCCCTAGATGACTTTTAGTGAAATATAGTGAGACACCCCCTCTTCCTTCCTTATATGAGATTTACCGAAATTTTAAATAATAAAACTTATTTTGATGTCATTGTACTTTGCAGTATTTGTTTGAGTAAAATAAGAAAAAGAAGATATATGAGATTTTCTTTATATTTCACTCCCTCAATTCTACAGATGAAATTTGCTGAGATTTTACTAGAACCCTCACTCTTCTCTCCTCACGTTAATTACGTGAGCTTTAAGTGAGGTGGAAGGATAGATAGCTACCTTAGAAAGTTAATGCTCATCAATGAAAACAAATTAGTTAAAAATAAATGTTAATACTTCTCTTACAGAAACAATCAAACCCTCGTATAATCAACGTAGCGAGTCACTGTGGTTTGCATCCTTTGCCTGGATTTGGAGTATACAGTGCGAGCAAGGCTGGCTTGTTAGCTTGGACGCGATCTTTACGCTTTGAGCACAGACTTTATGGCTTAAATGTCGTTGCTTTTATACCTGGTAAATATCTTTTCAAAATATTTATTTTATTATATATCCGTAATTAGATAATATTACTGGATCGACTTGTCATATTCGGATAGACCGTATATTCAAATATCAAGATCTCAGGAATTGTTGCATATTATGAAACGACTTATAAATGTGGAATAAAGGTGATTATGACTTTTGTGCTTTCATAAGTACACACTATTTTCAACCGACTTCAAAAAGAAGGTTCTCAATTTGTTTGTATTTTTTTATGTTTCATTCTTCATAACTCTGTTAATTGTAAACTAACTTGGAAAATTCCTTTTTTATTTGAAAGGATATACTTACAGTTTAGTCCCATACGAGGTTTGTCCGGAAAGTACGTATAAAAGTTTTTTAAAAATTTTATTTTACAATTATTCAGGTAAATCAATTTTATCCCCTTCAAAGTACTCCCCCTGTGACATAATGCACTTGTGCCAACGCCGTTTCCACTGTGAGAAGGCTCCTTGAAAGTCCTCTGGTTGTAGGTTTCTCAGCTGCCCCGTCGTAGCTTTTTTTATCTCATTTATGTCCCCCAAATGCCGCCCCCGAAGTACCAATTTGGTTTTTGGGAACAAGAAGAAGTCACACGGGGCCAAATCCGGCGAATAGGGGGGTGTTCGGTCACCGTAATGGAATTTTTACTCAAAAACTCACGGAACGATCTTGGCGCAAATTTTTTTCATTTGAAGTTCGTTTCTTAGAATTTCGTGGACCACGGTTTTGCCCAAATTAAGCTCTTCAGCCACCTGTCTGACCGTTAAACGACGGTCCCCATTAACACAAGTTCGAATTCTTTCCACGTTTTCGTCGGAATGTGAAGTGGAAGGACGTCCTGAACGTGGGTCATCTTGAACGCTTTCTCGGCCCTCTCTGAATCTTTTTAGCCACTTGTGGACGGTTGGTTCCTTCACAGCATCATCCCCATAAACTGTTCTGAGATCGGCAAAAATTTCACGGCCATTCTTGCCGAGTTTCGAGAGAAACTTGATTACGACGCGCTGCTCTTCAACGGAAGCGGGCTCCATGCCGACGGGGTTTCGTTAAGAGGTAACTTCACAGATGGCGTGACAAGCCAGTTCGCACCGCACGGCGGTCAGACCAGAACTGAAGCATTGTTAGGGACATAAGGAAGGGGTCCTGCGCTTACCTGGCCTCCCCACTCCTCTTTCTCGCATTCCAGAACACTTTTATACGAACTTTCCGGACAGACCTCGTATGATTTTTACAAAAACGGTTCAGTTGTTTAATTTCTCTAACAAAATAACAAGATTTTGCTACAAAAGTCGAACAGAATCTTAATTAAGTAGGTATATAATATATGGCACAAGATTTATTTTTCTTAATTGATGACTTATTACCTAGTTAGGTCGTAAACTGTTCTTATCATCTCCTCCTGTTTATTGACTTTGTTGAATAAATGGATGTAGTTCAAAACAGTTATAACAGTTTAGCAAATATTCTTTTTTTTTATACCACGCAGGTGACAATCTAGCATATTGCCCTTTTTATGATAAACAACACTGAAGCCAATGATTAGCTATGCGTCCATGATACCTATGTAATACTATAAGTATCATAGACGCGTTGCTAATCATATAGAAACTTTAATATATCCATTTTGAAGAACCACATACTGTAGTCTCTAGGTAAAACCTTGTTAGGGAGTTTTATAACAAACACATTGTATATTATGAACATTGTTTCAGGTGGTTTCATTGGTTCAAGTAACATTATGGCAAATCAAACCTCTCAAGGTAATGCAATGCTAGAACAATTAAATGAAGAACAAAAATTATTTTATGGTAAAAGGATTGAAGCTCTAACCAATTATTTAGGAGCAGCAGGGCAAAATACTAATTTCGATTCATTAAACGATGAGAAAATTATCGAAACATTTATTAAAGCATTGATAGATGAAGTTCCAAAGGATTTATATATTGTGGAGTCGTGGAGATATATGTTTTATTATAATTTGTTAAAGTTACCTCTTCCAGAAGCTTTTCATCATTGGTTAATTAAACAATTTCTTAGCTTTCCTGAAAAATAATAAATAGTAATTAAATCATGTTTTGAATGTTTTATACTTTTTGTTTCATTTCATCGACTTTTCGAGAATGGCTGGACCAATTCAATATTTTTTGTCAATGCCCGTTCAACTCTGAGAAAGGTTTTTATAGAAATAAAAACTGGAAAAATGGAAAATTATATAGGCAAATTAGTAAATTTGAGGATAGCTGGTGTCATTGTAAACGAACTTACGAACGATATATGAAATTGAATGCTTTGTCTTCTCTATTGATAGGGAAAACTTTGGGGAAACCCTAAAATCTTTGGGAAAACCATATAACTAGTATAGCGATAATCGAATTAACTAATTCGATTACTAATATTATTTCAGATTAATAATTAGAGCATTCTTTTACTGATAGTCTTTGTTTTCCGATTGATGAAGACGAAATAAAAAAAATTATGATATCAAGCATTTTTATTAGCAACCCGTTTCTCCGAAAATTCATTCGAATTATTCTGATATCTCTGAAAATCATTTGAATTGTCCTAGTATAAACTCAATATAATATAAAGGAGCCTAATTGACAATTCAAACATTTTTTGGTATTACGTTGGTATAACGATATTTGTCGGGTACATTAATTTATAATGTATAATAAATAGTATGATTTCTCCATGTTTCTTTCCTAGATGAACATACGCAGAATTTGGCAGCGGCAACGAAAAATAAATCCATCTTTCTCTTTACTCTACTGCCATGTGCAACATTGTCATCTCACAAAACGTATATTCTATTTAGTACCACAACTTTCATGTTAAATCTCTAATTTTTAAACTTTGTAAAGAATCCAGTATCTTTGGTTATGAACTTGTACGATAGAAAAAAATATGCCACTAATTTTATCTTAGATCTAAGACATTAACTGACATTCTGAAGTCAGACTGACAATAAAGTCGATGTAAAAACAATCAATTATACAATGACAACGAAAACTGACATATGATTGACATAAATATATAAACAAATTACACTACCTCAGCAGTCACCACTGAACTGGAATCAAAACAAAGTTTATCTCTATAATATCTTTAGACAAAGTCTCACTAATCTGTGCTTTAATCTTTGAACAAAATTTCGAAATATCGTAATGAAAATAATTTCTCTACCCTCTTTCAATATAAAAAATATAACCAATTAATGTTATTTGTTGGCTATAAATTTTGTTTAGATAGAAATATCCGATTGTAAGAATATAAAATATGGATACACAATTTGGACCAAATTCTATTGAGGAACGAGTAAGTACAACAAAATAATAATGTAAACAGACACTTATTTCTTTCTGCATGCATTAACTGACTAATTTTCTAAAAATTAGTAAATTATAATTGTTATAATAAATATACTATCAAACAATATAATTATAATAAACATAATATATATTTCACACAACAGTATATAGAGGTTAGTTTTTAATTACTATGTTTATTTTAGAATCTTCTCTACAAATTACATCGAAAAATACAAGTATTTCACACTAATGATACACTTTCCAACCGTGGCTATAATTTTGTAACTAGTAGCAGCAAATATGGTGTAGTTTTTATTGCTTCTCCTGATTCAGCTTTATCAGGTAAGTTATAATAAGTACATTGCCAATATTTTTGTTTGAAATCCCTGAAAATTAGACCAACCATTTAAAAATCTGGTTTATATATATATATATATATATATATATATATATATATATATATATATATATATATATATATATATATATATATATATATATATATATATATATATATATATATATATATATATATATATACTTGGTAATGTATAAATTATGCAGGAGATTTTGTCTCGTATATAATGCATAACAATTTGAATAAATCTACAAAGCTGATAAATCTCATAACATAATATTTCTAACTTATGTCTTACATCTTTAATAAAACGATTTATATTCAGTAATTCTTATTACTGAAAGTATATCATATTACTTGATAAAAAAAATTGGGTTATATGAAACTGATCGATTCCATATACCAATAATCAATCAAGTATGCCTTATACTACATTTTGGTAAACATCAATGAATTAAGGCGGCAATAGTCACTTACCATCAGGTGAGCCGCATGCTCGTTTGCCCCCCTTCTTGTAAAAAAAAATTAAGTCAAACCATACTTTTAAGGTTAATGTTTATCTTTTATGATCATTGAAATTACATAATGTGAAAGAATATTTCATCTATTTCTCATGTTCTTGAAACCAATTTTAAATTAGGATATCACCTCTAATATAATTTTTTTTCAATGCAGTTTATCAGCTTAGTCAACTGATTGACAAAGATAACATACCTCAACATATTTCGGTGAAACTAGGAGAAAAACCATCTCACATTGCTGTAAGCTGTGATCAGGAGTTGTTGGCAGTAACTGGTGGCCAACAACTATATATTTACAAAGTAATTGACTTTGAAAATCAGGTAAATTGATTTTTTCTTTATAGTAAAACCTAGAAACTTGATACTAAAGAATGATGACATCATACAAGTAATAGTAATTCTAAAAAGGACTTAGGTCACTGGTTATTTGACTATAATTATATTATTTATTTCCACTACCATTAGTATGTGTGTAATTGTTAGTTCTCTAAGATTAAATTACCTCCTCATGACATGTCCACTTGATTCATGTTCATATTCTTTTGATCCTTTTTATTACATATTATATTAATATATTCTATTCATATTAAGAAGAGTAAATTTATTTTCCAGAATGTTTCACCATCGGCATCAATTAGATGTGATGTAGACCCAAACACATTTGTGTCTGCACTGCAATGGAATCCATGTATCCCAGATGCCATTGCTTTAGCATTTTATGATGGTACACTGCTTGCTATACAAGTTTCTACTGGACAAATTAACAAAGTGCAATCAAATGCAAGGTAGCTAATGTTGAAACAGAAACCTTTTTATTTCTATCCTACTAATATTATGTGAAAGTATGTAAACAGGTTTGGATGTTTCTCATACCTGCACTTTATATGGTTAAATATATTGATTTATAATTAATATCATATGTATATATTTTATAATTTGTAAGTCGATATAGATATGTTTGTAACTGTTCACCTGCAACAATTTTTAAATATTTTTCACTACATATTTATATTTTTTCAAAGTTTGATTTGGAGAAAATGCCATATACCATTAAGTAGGCCTTTTGTACTATTTTTTTTTGTAATATGGTCAATAAAGAATTAATAAATACATATTTATGTTATCTGGTATATTTTACTGTTTATAACTTTTCTTTATTTTCACATTATACTGTTAAGGTCCAAAAACATAGTTTTAAAAATGCAATCTTTGATATTTTTAATGATATCCATATATCTTCACCAAATTCCATAAATCAGTGGATGTAAACACATATAAATGTGCTGACATAGAAGATTTTAAGATGTAAATTGTAATTACCAAAAACAGTAATTAACTGAAGAAATAAAGATTTTTTTATTGTGACCTATGTTAATTTTAGATGCATTTGTTGGAGTCCGAAAGGCAAACAACTGGTTACTGGCAACAGTGATGGTACTCTCTGTCAGTACAAACCTAATCTTGCACCAGCTAAATCGGTCCCAGCGCCAAATTTATTTGATGGCGCGCCAGTGGAAGCTCTTGCTATTTATTGGATATCCACATTTCAATTTGCCGTCGTTTATAAAAATGCTACGCAAAACAGTCGCCCAGGTAAAAAGTTGAATGAAATTTTATGAGTTATTATGTATTTATAGATAAAATTGGAATTATAATGTCATTATTTCATAATGAAAAACCAAATGACCAGAACCATTAAAAAATATTTTCTTTTTAAACATATTCACTCTCTGTTTATCCTTTAGGAACATTTTCCATTTTCCTATAGGTTTTAAAAGTAAAATTAATTTCGTATTATATTACATTTTTATTATTTAGAGTATACATGATTAAAAAAAATCGTAGAATTGTCAATATTATCAATATCAAAAAGTATCTACACAAAGTGTTTAATATATTTTATTAGATATGACTTACATATGTTTTTTAATATGCTTGCAGCTGTGACTATAGTCAATACACCAAAAGCTGGACAACCATCATGTCTCAATTACGAAGATATTTGCTACAGTATGGGATCAAATAGACCTTGGTATTATTTTTTACAAGGATTACCACAATGGTAAGGAGGCATTAATCGATACTTCTAAAACAAAAAAAAAACAATCACATTACCCAAGAACTTCATAAGAAATGGCTGTTTTATGTATAACTATACATATGATGCAAACGAAGTATATAGTATTTAATAATTAATTTTTAGTGCAGATCATGTGCCTGATATGATTTCCTGTCATATATCCAAAGAAAGTATGTATGCAATTTGCATACATACTTTTAGTTAATTTTCTGCTGACCTCTATTATATAGAGAATTCCTGTACAAAATTTCATACTTCGTAACTTAAGATTAAGGTTATGCGTGTCATTTAACCAGTGTTATCAGTGTTAGTTTTATTAAGTAAACCTACAAAAAAATTGACATTTGTATTTTTGATATTTCAGGAATATGATTTTGTCATCATCATCAAATAGTATGGAAATATCGACGTTGGGATCAGCAGATGGTGTTAACTGGCAGCAATGGTGTCAGGTATGCTATGTAGACTACATTTACTTGTTCACTTGACCATTTACAACCACTATTTTTTACTATTTAATTTGTTGAATTGACATTATTCTATTTTATGAATAATCCTTATGTTTTTAAATAATACTATTTAATTCATTATTACATCGTGTGAACTATAAAACATGTATGTAGATAAAATTTTGTTCCCAAGTCTAGCCGTTTTTTTTTTGTCACATACACAGATTATTATCATAACCTATAATGATTTTAAATTTGTATGTGGGAATGAAACATTTTACTGCGATAGAAAGTTCCTTATCATCTTGACCTAGTTGTTATTACCACATCAAATCTCATCAAGAACCAATAAGTAGTTTTAGCATCCTGTGCGCACAAACACAGACCATTTTTAATTTATTCTTCCTTTATATTTGTAGTCAGATGAAGCTAGACCAGAACTACCTCTGACAGATAAGAAGATAGAAAACTATCCAGTTGGAATATGCATTGATACTTGTGCTATACATCAGCTACCATGGGGTTCGTTGTTTTGTCTTACTAGATTAGAGATTCTATTAATTATATTTTATCTAAGTACTTTGGCCTGTTTATTACTTTACACCTTTGCTTCTGTCTTATGCTATGCACTGAATTAGGGGTATGGTAAAATATATATTTATAGTAAAGAAAAAAAATAGAAACAACAATTTATCACTCTTAATCTGTATGAGATATTGTAAAATTAGAACTTGAAGTATAAAACAGCTTTACAATTTGTTAAATTATTCTGTGTGATATTGTAAAAGTGTAAGTGTAATACTGTTAAATAATTTTAGCCAAGTTACAGTGATAATGATGTGTAATGTATCTATTTCCTTATACGAATTATCAGTCTATATATACTTTAACATTTATTATTTTAGGAGAAAACGAAGTATTACCCCACATGCCTCTATTACACGTGGTGTCACAAACTGGTTTACTAACAATATTCAACATCATCAACTTGAACAAACAAGCTGTTCAATTGTGTACACCGCCACAAGGCCTCACGTTACCCGCTGCTGCCATGATAGAGGCCATACCTGGTGAAGCGCCACAGGTTCAATCTGCGCCGGTACCAACTCCAACTCCAGTGATACAACAAATTGTAAGCAACAATTATATTTTAAGCATCTTTGAAAAGATTCTTTATCGTACACAAAAATTAATATGACAAAATAAGTCTATTAATATGTAATGTGAATGATGGTAATGATGGATATATGTTTAATATTTTTTCACGCAAAAACTAGTTAGCCGATTTATGAATGAAATTTGGTACACGGGCAGGTTATATCCTAATATTTCATTCATGCGTATGGAGCCGCAGAATATAGCTACATAATAAACACAAAATCAAGCTTATCTCTAAAATAGTTCTTTCAGTAAACCCAACATAAGATAATCAGACAGTTAATTCGTGCTCAAAAGCATGAAAGCATAATTGATTCAATGTAACAAATTTTCAACCGATTTTAAAAAGATGAAGGTTCTCGATTTGGTTATATTGTTTTTATGTTTGTCTTTCAGATAAGTTCTGTAAAGTGTTTATCAAAATCAATTTAGTAGTTTATTTTTTAATCGTAATGACTAATTTTGCCATGATTGTAGTTATCATTGCAAATAAATAGATATTTATTCATATAATTTTCCCTAATTAAATATATTTGTCTTGGTATGCTATTGTTTTACTGTCCAGAATTATTTCAACCTCTTCACGATTGGTTAAAATTTTAGTCATTCTTCATTATTTATTCTTTTTTCCAAAACTTTATGAAAGAATTTAGAACAGGCCTTGATTGTCTTGGTTTTGTGTGGGCTTTTTTTCTAAGAGGAACATGGTATTTGGATTGAAATGTATATTAGTTTTATTTTGGATTTTCGGGGTAACGACCTCTATTAATCTAAACTTTGATTCTTCATCTTCACACAATATAGCTACAATGTTATTTTTCGTGTCATTCCAACTTGTCCAGTCTTACTTTTAAATATTGATTTTCCAATTTTAAATCAGTGAGATTTTTAATTATTGGATTCGTCCATTCTTTGTAATATTTGGTTTGTTTGCTTTTGCATTTCGAGTTTTATTCTATCAAAAAACATTGCCATGTCCGTTTCTTTCGTTTTGTGTTTGTATTATGGTTAGTTGGTAATGAGGAAATATTTTTGTAGATCATTCAACACTAACAGTAAGCAGCGTAAGTGTCAACCAGACTGATACTTTATTAAATGTGAATTGTGGGTAGACTGCACCTTAGAATGGGGTGAATAGAATTCCTCTGCTTGTTGGTTGAATTTTTACTGTTTTCTTTACAGTTTTTTATTCTGGAACTATCACTTGTAAGTTTTATTTCACTGGCGATTTTTTGGATAAATCCGTACAAAATTGTAAATATTATTTAAATGCACGAATGTAACTTTATGTGTTGGCATTTTGACAGGTATTTTTTTATCTAATGTTATTTAAATTGGTTTTTATAATGTAACTAGCTTCTTGCCCGCTACTTTTTACACGTAAATTTCAGAAGTAGGAAAAGTAATTAAAAAGACCACTTCTAACTGGCGTATCAACAACAAAAACAAACACCAGATTTGATGTTAGAACTTCAGAAATAGAACTATGAAACCCGCATCAAAGTTGCAATAGTTTTTGCGTGATGTCGAAACAAACACAATTCCTAATAATTTCAGTAACACAGTAAACAGACTAATTTCTAATAATTAATAAAATTATTTCTAATAAAATTATTTTTTGTGGTCTACTGTTCTTATGACGACATCTTATATTAATATTTCTTAAATATAATCCATGTATAGACACCGTCTAATTAAAAGCATTCGCACTTATAATTATCGTAGTATTATTCGCTTTTTTTAGCCACAACCAATTGCGGTACCTCAACCTACAGTCGCTTCAGTGCCGGCATCATCAATCTCTACGAGCCTGTTTGCGTCCTTGCCTACTAGTACTCCTGCCAAACCTACAACTATGCAACCACTGCAAGTACCCCAAGCAATTCCTGCAGGTAGTATAACTGTTATGTATCTTTTTTTAAATAACTTTTAAGACAATCCCCTTTATTCTTAAAAACAAAAACTTTCTGCAAACTTATTTTAACTATTACACTGTTTTGTCACTTTATTTCAAATTAAGAATTTAGTGTAAAAAAAAGATACAAAACAGTTCCATGGTTAAAATAAGTTTACGAGAGCTTTGATGTTTTTATAGATAAGGGGGGAGTTTAGTAATATTACTAAATAAACTAAGTAATAGTGACACTTACTTACTTTTCTTTGTGAATGTGACAATACCGGAAACTCTCTTTTTTCTGTCCCCCATAGATCTGTTTCGCTCACTCTCACGTGTTTGCTATTCACGCCACACATATGATGAGCGAAATGCATATTTATGCGTTGCCATTCCTGAGGACTCGGGTGTTATTCCTCTGTACCCTGTAAATTCACTGCCATATCCCACCCTTCAAACCGAAACACAGCCATGCAAACACAACTGTTTCACGATGGAAACACGAATGGGACAGAGGTACCCAAGCAAACGACATTTGTACAAATTTTATAGTTTTTATGGCTGCCACACTTTATTTTTCATAAGTTTAGGTAGTCACAACTCTATCCATGTATATGATAATAAATTCTACCTCTGAGAAATCTCACCGAAAATTCAATTTCGATAAGTCAGCAATGTCAGCCATTAAATATTATTTTTATAAAATAATTATTAAATTCATGCTTTACACAAAATGCAATTTCAGGACCTACTTTACAACTTAGTGAACAAAAACCAGTTGAAATTAAGTCGGGACCAATAAATCCACCCCAAAACCAATTTCCGGTAAGACTGTTTTCAAAATTACTTATTTAATTAAAAAAAAATCGTATAACACTAATTTTAAGTGACTGCGTCTGTAGTTTTATTGTGTAATTTATATTATGCAATTAGTCATCATTTTTAAATATATTTGTAGAGCAATAACTGCTTGACGTGAAGCAAAATCTACATGTAGATTGTACATGTGAAATGTAATTCTATGTTTCAATTTGAAATATTTTCATTTTAATGTATACATACATATACATACATACATAACATCTCATAGTTTACTGGTTACATTATTTCAAAATATATTTTTTTTTTATAATTATGTAATCTCAAATAAACTGTGATATATTAAATGTTAAATATAATCCCATAAATTTTCTGTAATTCCACAGTTACAACCCAAACCTACGCCTTTGGAAATTAAACCGCAACCGTCAATAAAGGCCCAGGAAGCCAATGCAGCATTGAAGGCCGAACAAGAGCAGGCAAACAAAATTAAAGCTAACCAAGAATTAAAGAATATGCTGGTCAGAGAAGTCAACGAATTCCAAATGGAGCTATATAAATTTATGTTGAAGACGAGGGAAACTCAAGCAAAAGTAATGTATTAATATATATAAAATCATTGTCACAGTCAATAACAACCATTAACTTCTCATTTTATTTTTCCTATGTACTTGTGTACAGATTTATCTATACTCTCCCCTTAAGAATAGTAAGGCTAATAAATAGTAGCCATATTGTCATATTATCTTACTAGTTAATTTATTTTAAACTATTACCTGCAATTTGATCAGGATATAATCACTCACTGACTGGGATAAAAAGTAGCATATGTCCTTCTGTGTCTCAATAGTAAGTTTATATGAAATTTTCTAGAAATAAGTCATTAAGGCCCTAAGAGGTAACAAAGAAACAAACTCACTTTCACATTTATACCATTAGCAAGGATTAAGAATTTAGTTTTGTTTTTTCGAAAGACAGGACAATAGTTATAATTATTAGATTATAAATAAAGAGTTATTTTATAGTTGCAACGGGATCTACAGTCCATCAACTCGAACTTCAACCTTCAATCAATGGACACTGAAGAGTTAAAAAAGGAATGCTCTATTGAAGAGCTTCGATCTGCCATTGTGCAACTTAAATTGGAATTGGTGAAAGCATGTGCGGTAGTTGCAGAGGCCCGAACACATGCAGAGTAAGTAATACAGTTTTTAAATCATAGAGGTTACAAAAAGCATATGACATGCCTGATAATAAACAGTTGTAGTACTATTACTTGATAATATTCCACTATGTTGATTTTAAAATCAGCATAATGCAATTTCATTAATAGTTACTCAAAATAATTATACCTTATGTAAAGTTTTATTGCTTAAAATAAATTATTGTATTAAAAAAAAATTGTTTGTATAAATAATATTATAACTGTGAACTATTTAAAATAGTAACGAATAATTGAAATAATAATTATGTTTACTGATTGTTCTAGAAGATTAATATATTATTATGGAAAATTAATCTAAATTATATTAATTTTATCAATATTATCAAATAGCAATGATAGAAAATGACATTTTATCTTCTTGTAACTTTATATTTTTTGAATGCTTTTTTACATACTTTTTTTGTTTTCTTTTAACAGTTCAAAAGATTTACACGAGTGGACACAAGCCGATCCTTTAACTACGAAGCGTGTCGCATCCGTAAAAAAGTTAGCATATTACGTGCAAAATCAAGTGGAACAAGCACATAAAGCACTGGATTATAAATGGAATGAAGTATTGTCAAAGGATCAGAAAATGAAGAAGTATTAATACATTTTAGCAATATTAATTTTTTATATTTAATTTGTTGTCATTCATACATAACTATATGTCTCAGAGGCAACATAAACAAATGAGATCTCTATATGCGTAAAAGTGTGTAAACACATTGTTCCTTTTTTCCAGCGATTACTTTTTGGAACGTTAGAAGGACCTAATTCTCTTAACTTTGTAAAAAGTGTCAGTTTGTGAGAAGTAACTCTAGGTGATGGCCTACATTGAACATTTTTAGTAACATCAAAAATGCATTAATAAACGCATATAATAGATTTATTTGGATATGATGCATTATGTATTATATACTTAGTGTAATAAGTCCCAATGACAAAGTCAATATTTACTAAAGGCAAGATTTTCAGTTGACACTTATCGTAATACTACCATGTTAACTTCTTGTGAACAATATGTTTTAAGTAGTTTTCTATATATTCTTATTTCTATTCAAATAAAATGAAAAAAAAACATACTTTACCAGGCCAGGACAATACATGATACGTCCAATATTAGACGACGTGTACCAACCACTGGTAAAGCAACAAGAGATACTGTGTCGTCAACAAGCTATGCTTAAGACACTGAGAAACACACTCAAGGAGTGCGAAGTAACGCCAGTTTTCAAATCCACCTCTTTATTGAGAAGTACGCCGTTTAGAAATAAGTAAGTATCAGTAATATTTATAGTAATTAGCTATCCTTTATCAGTAAGGCTAAAGGTTCTTCCATAAAGTTAAAATGACGTGTTTTAGAAGAAGGCATGACCTATGTCTCGCCTTCATTATTTTTTCAATAAAAAGCCAGGGAAAGTTTAGTATTTAGAAAATTGCAATATACAAATTGTATAAACAGTTAATTTTTATAACAAAAAAAGAGAAATAAATATTGTTTTACATTATTTATTTTATAGAAATGTTTTTGATGGAATTATTAAAAGTGGTAGGAATAATATGGTAGTATAATGCACATAATTTTTATAAATCAAGTTAATTATATATAACCATGTATATATGTTACAGAGATCCATTATCGAAACTGACTAAGAACATCTTAAATATGAGTATTGAACCACAAACAACTAAATCCAAAGAATCAATACTTAGCGCGCAGAAACTCGACGCACTTAGAGACATGTTATCAAATCATAAAACGGTGAAAATTAAACCAGTGAATGTGGATTTGAGGCAACAGTTGGCAGCAATGAAAATCAGTTATGAAAAGAGTTTAAAAGAAAAGTTAAATCAACCCCAAGTGGTTGTTAAATCTGAACCTGATGTTCAACCATCAAGTTTTGCACCTGTACCTGTCACAGGTATTATTTTAAGTAATTAATATTTATATGAGTATATTAACAGTCCACTAATCACTAATGCTACTGGTATATTTTATAGTATATATATTGATATATTATTAAAAGTAAATTAAAAAAAGGTATATTTTAATTTATAAGGTGTATTATTAAATTTTTAATTCCATTCAAGCACCAGTAACGAATATGGTAAAAATAGAGAGAACATCAGAGCCAGATATACTTAAGCAGCAACCTATATCTATACCATCGTTTACGCCGGTTAACAGCTTCAAACCAAAAATACCTCCACCTGCAATTTCTAATGTCGCTAGAACATTATTTACTAATGGTAAGTACCAAATCAGGTCAGTCTTTGAAATTATTAACACAAAATAAAAAGCTACTAAATTGTCGTAAAAATGCAATACATGTGTACATTATTTTTCTGAATATACAGCAAATATTTGCACAATAAAGACTAACTATAAGCAAAATTCTTTCTCTAATATTAATAGTATTACTACATACTATTGTACCAGAGTTTTGTTGAAATATTTTATAAGCTTCGATCAACACTAACTGTATAGGCCAAGTTTATAACCGACCAAACCAAAAAAAAAAACATTAAAATATATCGTATCGGTTCCGAAATACTGCTGCTGGAAGTTGATTCCAAAGAGTGGTTGTGCGTGGAAGAAAGTGCTTTGAAAAACGCACGGTGGAAGACCGCCACTCGTCCAGATGGTTGGGATGAAACTTTAGTTTATGGCGGATTGTACGGTAGTGAAAATCAGCAGCAGGTATCAATCCGAACAATTCCTCAGAGCACTCCCCATGATAAATTCGGTAGAAGATGCACAGAGATACAACATCTTTGCGCAGTTTCAATGGGTTGTGTCGAACATTAAGGCGTTGATTATCAATAATTCGAGCCGCCCGTCATTGAAAGCGGTCTAACGGAAGAAACTGGTACTGTGCCGCTCCTGCCCATTTAAGCGAGAACAGTATTCCATATGCGGCCTGACTTGAGTTTTATACAATTTCAGGCAGTATTCCGGCATGAAAAACCGTTTCACTCTATTGAGCACTCCTAACTTTTTAGAAGCTATCTTAACTTTTTCGCTCGCTCTTTTTCGTCGCTAGATATATCGATGCCCAGAACTTCTAGACTCGACTTATTATCAAGGGAAGTGCCCTGAAAGTGAGGAGATACGACAAACGACGTCTTTTTTGCGGTGAACCCGTAGACTTGTGTCTTCTTGGGGTTAAATTGGACAAGATTGTCTTCGAAACTTGATCGAGTGAAGTTTCCATTTCAGATACAAATCTATTCTGGAATTTATCGATATGTGCCCGCGAGATGTTTGCATGACCGATATATAATGCATCTCCTGTACTGTCGTCTGCATAGCAATGAACTTACTGATCTGTAACATATCATTGATATGCAGAAGAAACAGGGTCGGAGATAATACACAGCCTTGCGGGAAACCTGCATTTACAGGTTTTAAATCAGAGCATGCTCCGCCGACTACGACTTTAATGCTACGTTCCTTGGGAAAACTGGTGACCCAAATGCACAATCTCGCAGGCAACAATTTTAGTTTACAAAGATTTCAACCATGACGTAATTCCTGATCAGCAATGTTAAGATTACCATTGTTTAAGCTGTTATTTCGTTAGATCCTAATTTTTGTAATTTTAAACCACAAACTCCAAGAGGAACATTGTATTATGTTTATTGGAAGTTGCCATCTGTTACGTAATAAATATTATAATTTAAGTCTTTTTCTTTCAGAGCCGAAATCAGAGCCCGCAAAGCCTCAACCTCAACTTCCGCAAGTACAAATACAATCACAACCGATTCTAAAGCCAAAAGAACAATTGTTTACATTTTCTACACCAACAGGGGGAGGCGCGTCAGCAAACACACGAAGCGTACTGAAAGATTTGTTACAAAGCAAATCTCAAGCAAATGTTGATGTCAAGAATGACGCCAATACTTTTATGGGACAGAGAATATGTTCACCCACTGTGTTTGCTCGTGAGTGCTTTATTATTTTTCAACTTTATATATTATTTATGAGTTATTTTGATTTTCAGTACTTACAATTACTGTTATTATATAGCATAAATTTTATTTTATTTTATGAAATTAAACATTTACGCTATAGAACCATATATTGGCATCTTCAAAATGTTAGAGAATCTTTATATTTTCAGCACCTATTGGACAACCGCATATTAACAATCCTCCGTCGCAAATGACATCTGGACCATCTGCTGTGTTCACAGCCAAACCAATATCAGATATAACTAACATGTTCACTAAATTCCAACCACAAACATTTGTACCAGAATCAAAACCTCAAACAGTAAAACCAAAGTCTTCTGAAACAGGGGAACTAGAAGGGATAACAAAATTAGAAATTAAAAAGGAAGAAAAGCCATTGACAAATCTGTTTGGAATGAAAACGTCTACCCCATTGAGTGCAAGTTCATTTAATGTACCAGACGCTCAGAAAACACAAGACAAAGCTCCAGTTAAACAAATTGACAAAATTGTTGAAAAAATTAAAGAAAACACACCAGAAAAAACAGCCGAAATTGTAGAAAAAAGTGACAGTGGACCTAAATTATTTGAAACACAAAGCTCTAATAAAACTTCCATTTTTGGTGATAACGCACAACCGAATCTGATAAGCAGCAGCTCTTTTTCATCTTCAAGTTCGTATCTATTTAAAACTCACATTTTATTTTTTATTTTGATAGTCACGCCCTAGTAGCTGATAATTTTATTATTGAATTTATAATTTCAAGTTTATTACGTTTTAGGCGAAACCTCGAAACCAATAGAAGTTAAAAGTGAAAATAAAACGAGCATTCCTAAGTCAATAGAGAATATTGAATCAAGCACAACTTCTACTACAGGCGCGTCATTCTTATTTGCTTCTGCTAACGCCACATCACCAACTAGTACGTTCATTTATTCCTGGTATTTGAAATAAAATATATCCTTTTTCTTTTACTACTTATTAAATAAAATTTTTATTCCAGTATCAAAACCGCAACCAATATTCCCAACATCTGTTCCAGTTGTGACTTGTGCTACTGATACAAGTACTAAATCATCATCTACTGACACAGCCACAGCATCTTCCGCATCTTCTATATTTAGTACTGCGGTTGCTTCACAATCACAATTTACGGTATCTAAAACACCTACAACACAAACTGGATCTATTTTTAGTACATCCCCCACATCAACTGGAGCATTTGCAGCTACAGGGTCAATATTTGGTACTGTGACTTCTACTATTGCAAACTCTAGTTTTGATACCACTACACAATCAGTTGTTACTAATACTACTGCCAAGCCATCAGCGTTTAGTTCTCCCACATCGGTTTCTCCATCTTCTGTATTTGGACCTGCAGCAACGCAATCTGTTTTTGGATCGCCCACATCAGTATTTGCAACAACGACTACTACCCAATCCTCAATATTTGCGACATCTACAACCTCTGTCTTTGGGTCTCAACCATCTACTCAAGCATCTGCTTTTGCAACATCTACTGCTTCAAATGTTTTTGGTACAACTACCACTACGTCAACTTCTATCTTTACTAGTACCCCTGCAAGTACTTCTCAAAACGTATTTGGCGCGTCCCCAGCTACTACTCAAGCATCTGTATTTGGGAATCCAGTTACTAGTCAATCGTCCTTTGGTTCTACTTCTCCATCGTCTGTATTTGGCGCAACCTCTACACAAACATCTGTTTTTGGAACACCAACTTCAACAACCCAATCGTCTATTTTTGGAAGCGCAACTCAAACTAGTCAAACGTCATTGTTTGGAACTGCTACCCAAACAACTCAAGCGTCTATATTTGGATCTCCCACACAGACAACGCAAGCGTCTGTCTTTGGAACTCCTACACAGACAACGCAAGCGTCTGTATTTGGATCCCCTACACAGACAACGCAAGCGTCCGTATTTGGATCTCCTACACCGACAACGCAAGCGTCTGTATTTGGATCACCCACACAGACAACACAAGCGTCTGTATTTGGAACTCCTACACAAACAACACAGGCATCAATATTTGGTACTCCTACGCAGACAACACAAACATCTGTCTTTGGAACTCCTACACAAACTACACAAACCTCTGTGTTTGGTACCCCTACTCAAACAACACAAGCATCTATCTTCGGAGGAACTCCAACTACTTCATCATCAAGCGGATCATTATTTGGAAGTGCTGAAACAAATTTATTTGCATCAGCAAGTATATCAACTACTAGTGCCCCATCGCAGTCGAGCGGAGGAAATATTTTTGGCGGAGGGTAAGATTATTTAAATACCTATATTTTTATAAACTCAATATGTAGTCTTAAAAATATTAAAAATTATTTACTACATTTTACTACATTTTACAGAACTGGTTCAGTCTTCGGTAGCGGCAACACCAACATATTTGGAGCCAAATCAGCATTTAGTAGTCAGTCCAATACATCACCTTCTTCCATATTCGGTGGAGGTGCTACATTTGGTCAGAAACCAGCTAACAACTTCTGGTCTGGAGGAAATGCAAGTGGAGGTGGTTTTGGGTCAGGCTTTGGTATGTACAATTTTAAATAATATATTTGTCTGTAAACATGTCATATGAATACTTTTTTGTTGTATGATATTCCATAGTTCTATTAATTGTGAAACTTTGACTAAACATAATAGACCTATTATACTGTAGTATAACTATACTAAGAAGGTCAATAGAGACCAAAACTAAAAGAGTTGACGACAGCTGCAATATTCAAAATAAGGAAATATACTGCAATCAACGCTATAATTTTTATTTGCTTAAAAAACATATTAACAGGAAACTTAAAAGTCACTTTGATCATTTATGGTACTGATTTTAGGAACACGTTTTTGTTAAGAAAAATCTGATTATACTTTTTTTGACTAACTTTTGTTGACTGCAATTTTTTTTCCTCATTTTTGTTTTTGCGTACATTATTCGATGTCTTTCGTGATCCCTTATTTTATCGAAAGAGTTTACTCTCACATGTTGGTTTTATATCATTTTTTGTTTTATATATAATTTGTATAGCTTATAAAAAAATATTGTCCTGTAGGTCAACAAGCTACAACTCAGGCAGCATCAATATTTGGTAGTGGCTCCGGGGGAAGCTTTAGCGCGCCTAGTACCGGACAGCCTTTCGGTAGTCCGCAACAAAACGCTAATTTCGGTGAAAACAAACCTTCTGTCTTTGGGTCGCCACAACAGCAATCAAGTTAGTATTTTAATTATATATATTGTGCGGCTCATGTACCTGAGAGCATTGGAGAGTCGCTTGTAGTTGTTAAAAAGACTATTATGGAGAAAATACTTGTTTTAATTGAAAGCAAGTAAAAAATACGGTTGTAAGTTGAGTATGTAGTGCTGCCACATGCAAATTAAAATGTTAATATTTACGTTTTAAAGGAAGGGTATCGATAAGACCTCTTTTCCGCCCCAGAATATCGAAAAAAAGTCATTGAACTTGATTTTTTTATATATTCTGAAAGTAGACTATGGGCCTGATAAGAGAATATATTTATAGAAAAAAAATGATACATTTTCAGTATCATTTTGAACAAAAATTACAGACTAAAGTTTGGCGTCCCAAAAATAATATTAATTGTAGTTTTTTTTTTTTCTCTAAATATATTCTCTTATCAGGCACACACAAAAAACATCAAGTTCAATGACTTTTTTTGGTTCGATATTCTGGGGCCGAAAAAAGGCCTTACTTTTTACCCTTCTTTTACAGATGAAAAAAAAAATTGTTTCTAACACGCAGTATAACTTATATTTATTTAACTAAATTTTGACTGTTTCATTCTGTATACCATATTGTTACAGCACCAGCTTTCGGCGGTTCACCTGTCTTTGGATCTAAACCTGTATTTGGACAGTCGGCAACGTAAGAGTTTTATCTTTTATAAGTATATTTTTAATAATGTCACATCCTGACACTGAGAAAGCTGTAATTAACAACATTTTATACTTATCATAAATTCTAATCTGATAAGTGGCATGTGTTTTACTTTCATAGTTTATTTTTAATACGGTTTGACGAGTCTTATCACTAATTATTTAAAGGCATATAAAGTGTTATTAAATTTTTATTAAAAAAAAATATGGAGCGTATGTAAGCGCCTGAGATACTTCTATCTCACTTTTTAAACGTATTATTTTTAAGCGAATTAATGTATTCAAATCTACTGTTTGTGTCACACGTCTTCGCGTAGTCTAAAAGGATATTTATGAAACTTTGCAATCAATATATTTTATTGCGTTGTTTATCGCATATTAATTTTGTTACGATTATAGTTAATTTATTTTTGTCGAACAAAATTCCATATTATTATGAATATATCTATCCCTGCCATAACTTAATTTATTAACGTTTTTATATCTGTACTATAATAAAATTGTAAGGCCAAAAAAGTTTGTACACGTAGTGATTACTTGCTCTGTGGTGTACATTATTATTATTATTTATGATGATTTTATCTGGTTATTTATTTTTTCTAGTTAAAGTTAGCTAGGTAAATAAGATTACCCGAATAAATCATTCTCAAAATACATATTAACCCAAAACTGGTGTAGGTATGTTATTAGAATTTTTACTAGGACCAATTAAATTGTAAAATACAATTAAAATCAACGTTTTATGAAGTCGCGTAGTATGTAGAGGTATTGATTAATTAGTTTACTAAAATAAAATACCAATCAATCGACTAATATAATTCATCCAAAAAAATGATAAAAACAAAGTTTATCTATTCGTGTTCTACCATTTTATAAGTTTCAGCTCTCCGCCTGGTGGTGGCGGATTTGGTTCATTCGGCGGATTTAATAAAAGTCCGGGTGGCGGGTTCGGCGCCCCCGCGACCTTTGGTGGTGGAGCAACTTTCGGCGGGTCAGCGTTCGGTGGGTCCTCGCCGGGTAAAGTGTTCGGTGGCTCCTCCCCTAGCCCTGGTATGTATAAATACTCGTTCACACAGCCTGGTTTAAAAAGGAAAAAAAATTTGATTGCTTTTAATTAGTGTTCGTTGACGTAATGCTTATTTTTACATTTCACATATTTGTCAATACTCGAGTATTCTCATATAACAATGATATGATAGAAATAAACCTTGTTTCAATGATCTTAAACACTATTTTAAACCCTATCAAAGTATACTTTTCTTTGAGTCGGTCTGTGTGAATGGACAAAATAGGAAATAAAATGTTGTCTACAATGAATCAATAATTATCCTATTAATACTGTAAAATGCGAAAGTTTGTTACTACAGATGCATGGAGGTTTGTTATTCTTTTATGTAAAAACTATTGCACGGATTTGAACAAAATTTAGTACACAGGAAGGTCCTAACTTAGCGCATATCACTGATTCACACATTATATACTGATTCAATCGATCGAAGCCGCGGGATATAATTGGTATTTAAATTTCAAATTACATCTGAAATTAACAAAACGACGTAAGATTATATTTCATAACAAGAACCGATTTTAATTGGAGCAAAATCAATTTTTTTGATTGAAAATCTAAACTACTAAACAGGTTTTAACACAATTTATATGGGACCAAACTGTAAGAAATAGATAAAAAGGAGAATTTTCTAAATCAGATAATATAAAAAATGTAACTAAACAAAAAAAAACATCTTTCTTTTTGAACTCAGTTGAAACAGGATTCTGCTAATGTTATAGGTCTTGTAATGGCAAATGGACTGACAAAAGTAACCATTGCCTATAAAATATAGAAAAATAGGATGCGACCCCTCTTTTTTTTTCTTTGGTAACGTTTTAAGAGAAACGCTGCTGCTCATCCCTCGACCATTAAATTTCCTTAGTCGCTTATATCTCGATATACATATTAAAAATAATATTCCTCAGGTTTCGGCTCGCCCACTCAATCAAATGCGACGTTTGAAAGCTTAGCAACTCAAAACACGCTTACATTTGGCAATCTAGCACAACAATCCGGACAACAACCACAGCCGCAGCAACAACCTACGTTCAATACGTGAGTATTTATAACAACTAGGATGTGTCGCAATTATGTTGGAACATCAACATAATTATTACATATTAAATAATTCTATAATCAAGTTTAAAATTAAAATGTTGGAATTAACTACTTTACAATCTAAATATTTCAATGAGGTTTATTCAAAATTTATAGAAATGTAAACGTTGTTTTTAAAGTAATATAATATCTTTAATATTGTGTGTTCATCTGTAATTGTCATATATATATATATATATATATATATATATATAAGATCTAGACTTAATATAATAATACTATTATATGTATAATACATATGTTCTAGATCAGAGCTGTCCAAACTATGACCTGCGGGCCACATGCGGCCCGTGGCTTAAATTGATGCGGCCCGTCAAATCTTTTCTAGCTACTACCAATATTTATGTTGATATTGACAGAATTGTAAAAGATAAATTATGAAAAAATGATACAATCACAAAATAATGATGTTATAGCTGCATTTTGTTTTTACAAATATTTTGCGGTCCTTTAATGAGTTTAGTCATTTTTATTGGCCCTAGGTTCTGTATAGTTTGGACAGCCCTGTAGTAGATGGTCCAATAAATAAATTTCCAAATCACAGACCATAAATTACATAGTGATTTAGTTCTCATAAAGAAATATTTCTCCGTTGACAAGTTAATTTACAAGTAATATTAATTTAGATAGAACTTTGATTAAGATTTCTCAACTTCATTTAAAAAGTTTATTTTATTTATTTTTAACAGAACTACTGGATTAAATTAGATGTCGTAACAAAATGCAATTTGCGTGTATTTTTGTCTCAATAGAACTTTCTTCTGACCGGTTCTGTATATACAGCATAATATCAACATAAAATATGCAATACTACTAGTACTGTGATATATTCTGAACAGTATAAAATTGCACCTCCATAAACTGGATCTAATGTGAATTTAATACATGAAGTCTGTACTCTCTGTATTGTCTTGATTACAGCATTAATTCATTAATTCATTATTACCCTCAATGATGCCAATAAATATATGGTGTATTTTCACGAATATATATACATATTTTACAGATCTCCCTCATTCACCGGTTGGCGCGGCTGATGACAATATTATAAGGAGAGGGCTCTAAGAATGAAACAGTAACAGTGATAATGTTTGTCTCATAAACATAAAATATTATGAGTGATCAATGTGTTACATAATTTCAAATATTAAACACGTATAATGGCTTGTGTATTTATGATATATTCATGTATCAAAAATTGTCTTTTAATAAAATAATGAAAATGTTTCTCATGTGAATCTGTTTTTTTTTTTTTTTGATGATGTTAATACCTAAATATTGGTCAATTTAGAATTATGCATTTGTACGATTATTCGATATCATAAGTGATGACGCTTGTATATACTCTCTTTGTTATGTCATCGTAACGCATCTTTTAAAAAACAAAGTTTAGGTAAGTCATTAAATTTCAAATATTGTTTGAAACGTTACTATTTTTTCCATTATTTTCGTCATACCTACATATAAACTTATTATTCCGTAATGAGGTTAGCACATAATCATAAAGATACCAAAACCTATAGTCCTTATTCTTATGTCAAAACTGTGAAAAATTACTTTACAAAATGAAATCCTGCGGGTGGTGGAGGAATCGTTAGTGATAGAGACTAACCCCATTTGCTAGCGAAATACTCTTTAAGAGCTGTCTTCTTGTGAAACCTATAAACCCTTATGGTTAATTTCTAGTGAATTCGTTATGTGTCAACTGATCCATCCTCGCCTATTATCATTCACTGGAACTCTGCAGGCGTTACTGATAGCGTAAGGCGGGGTCACAATTTTATTATTATCCAAAAAAAGGAATCCTATGGCTCCTCAGGGTGTAAACTGATTACATATATTATATTATCACCACAAATTTCCAGAGCAAAATATAAGTGAGAAAACATTTTAGCTTTCATCGAATAAAAGTAGAGCCGATCAACTTTTACAAAGTTGATTCATTAGTCGCTCGCTGTCCGGATGCAAGAGATTCCACAGTTTGTTACCAAGTTATCGGAATGTATAATGAGACTATGTTCAGTTGAAAAACTTGATAGCAACATTGGAAAAGTTCCACACTTCACTAATGAGCGAAAGGATAACAAATATTGACTTTTCTGTTTTTGAAAAATATTTTGACGATAAGTAATACCTATCATGACACAACAACATACCTATTATAGGTAAGTAAATAATAAATCACATAATATATACATATTTAATATGTGATTACATAAATAAATATAAATTCTATTTTAAAAAATGGGAAAATATAGCATGTATAAAAATGTTCAAAGGATCGTAATGATTACGTAGCATAACAATTCGACTTACGTACATGATAATATATGATATAATATCATGTACATAACACCTACTATTAGAAGCTTTTTTATGTCTCTATTATGAGAGCTAATGTATACTAAAAAATACATTTAACAATTTCAAATAAAATCGGACCGTAAAATAAGAGCGACGTGTCGAGAGGGCTAGGAGTTAAAGTACTCTCCATCGTTCCATCCACTATCTACTACCTACCTATAACGAACCGAGACGTGGACACTTGACGTTCCATTAATTTTAAAACTAAAATAGGTAGATGGGTAGTTATCTATTTTTGAAATATAGCATATTCTGCTTTTATCCCAAAACTATTGTCTGTAGTTTTTATATTTTTATACTTGTCAGTAGGTAATAAAAAGTTTATGTCCACTTTCATTAATTACTTAACATTAGCATTTTGATCAAAATATCTTTCTACATTAATTATTACAGAGAAAAAATATTTGATTGTTTGCTTGTAATGGATAAACTTAAAACTACTTCATCTATAGAAAAGTACGTTATCAGCAAGTAACATAGGCTATATATTATTTCTGAAAATTATGTCTAATCATCGAAAGGAGTACCGGACCACTAATAGATTAATCTATAATTTAAAGTATAATATTTGTATATCATAGGCATGTTTAAAAGAAAGGCGGGACGTTGGCTGGTCGCGTCCAATTCATAACATAACAAAGGTTCATCCGCAGCCCTTTATGGAGCTGCAGGTGCGGGCCTCGAGCAATTGCTCTTTGCCCGGGCGCATACTGCGTAGGCTGCCGCCTACGCGTCGATGTTTTCGACCCGTGGGGCCGAGCCGACACTATTGTAAATAGTGTCGGCTAGGGGAAACATTTCTTGTGGGAGAAATGGGAAATGGGGAAATTTATTTCACGTCGTCGACCGTGCAGGGCCGGTTGAACCGTCGCCCTGCATTGTGCCTGCTGTGCGCAGGAGATCTCGCGGCAATGCGCGCGTTGCGTCCGGGGGACGCGCATGGAGTGGGGCGAGGTCCCTTAAATGGGGGTGGACGCTATTATCCGCCCGGCTGAACATAGCGCGTGCCAGCCGGCGGACAAATTCGTCCACGCTAGGGACCGCGAGATCTCGGGCTATTACGTCATTTGTGACGTATCGAGCAGCGTCTGCGCACAGTCGCAAGGCACAGTTCTGCTGAACCTGCAGGCGCCGCCTCTGTGCATCGGAGCACAGTGCGTACCACGCGGGGGAGGCATACGTCAGCTGCGAATGAATATAGGCTTTGTAGATACCTACTTTCGTCCGCAGCGACAGGTTGGAATGTAGGACCGGTCGCAGCATGCCGCGTGCGGCCTTTGCCTTCGTGACCGCGCGTGAAACGTGCGCGATCATACGCAACGACCGGTCTATCTCGACCCCTAGGTAGCGCACTGTGCGCTCCCATGAGATGGGCGTGCCACGGAGGTTGAGAGGCGGCGGATAGTGGGTCCTGCAGCGAGTGGCGAGCGCCACCGTCTTACCTACATTGACGGCGATGCGCCACTTGTCGAGCCACTCAGGCAGGAGGTTCAGCAGCCGCTGCATCTTGCGTGCGGCGGGTCCAATTCATGACCCGAGCGGAAATTAAGGCTGTGTGCAGAGATACCTTTGAGAGATATACCCCTAAAAATAAACTTAAATAAATCAATGAAGTCGACTACATACTCATTTGTTGCAGTCTCCGGCCGTTCATCTACTTTCCTTATGCTCCTCAAATATGCCATAATACACATTGTACCCTCTTCTACAGGTATCCCATCACTCATATACAATAGCGAGGAATACTGTACCACGAACTATATAAAAAAAAAAAAAAATACTTGTCCTCATTTTTTAATCCTCCGCTGGTACTTTACCATTATATAACATTAGCATGGGCGGGTCCTTTTAAAAAAAAAAAAAAAAAAAAAAAAAAAAAAAAAAAAAAAAAAAAAAAAAAAAAAAAACCCTCCCGCCCTTATTTACTCAATAATAATCACATTGCAAAAAAAAAAAAAAACTCGCTCCTGCTCCCACATACCGTGGGATCATACAGTCCCGACGATTGTTAGTAACGCGGACTACCAGTCCCATTGCTAACAATATACCTTGTCAGGTTGACTTCCACTTGGTGCCCCCGGGAAACCATTATGCTGAATTCCCTTTCATTTTCATCTCCCATCCATCACTGGTATACCGCCAATGGATATTGCCAGAGCAGGCGGGGTTACCATTCTATAATCATTCATTAAAAAAAAGGTTTCCTGTTGGAGACGAGTGCATACATCGTGATTGATTGCTTTTATAATTGTGATGAATATCCACTTTTGATGTATGAGTGATAATAGGCAAGAATGTAATATTTTCATAGGATGAAAATGGAATACTATTGGCATATTACCACTAGTATGCCAGTAAATTATCACGTTCGTTTTACGAGGTAACTGCATGAGATTAAGTTGATGGAATATATTGTTAAAAATAAGGATTAATGTCCCCATAAATAACGGTTGACCGGTACAGAATGCTACTAGCATTAATTCCGCCTTTTGTATTAGTCTCTTTTGGCCAATAAAGTTATTTAAATAAATAAATAACAATCTTCCCCGTCCAATAAGAATGACGCCAGGTCGATCGGCCCATCAAAACAAATTCACCGTCATTTGGTGCGTTCACTATCATCACTCGTTAAGTGGAGATCAAATTGAATTGATGACCCTGTAAAAACCTTTTTACTCTACTAAGTACTATTATTTATGCTGGGCTATTACTAAGTTTACCAACAATCATTACCTCTAAGGGAGAAAGGGATTATTAATAATGGGAATATATAATTTCACTACTAATAATATGCCCTATCCGGGGGAAAGGGATTGTTAGTAATGGGGCCAAATAACCTCATTACTAGCAATGTAGCCACGTCGACCTCCACGTAGATTCCTTGGAAACCATCGTGGTTAATTCTAGTTGTATTTATCAGGATGGGCTAACTGACCTACTTTCACCCTTATCTGTCATTTCTCACTAGTGCCTGAACAGTATATATCAATAGCGCAGGCGGGTTGCAATACCATTACAACCCATTAAAAAAAATACACCCTGTCAAGTCGACCTCTACGCGCTTCACCTTGAAAACCATCGTTGTTCATTCTTGTTGACTTCGTCACTATGTGCCAACTGACTTGAGTTCATCATCACCTATCATCACTCACTGGTGCCTTATCGGCGAATATAGAAAGTGCAGGCGGAGTTCCATTATTCCATTTTTGTTAATAAATAATCTTATTGTTTTAAGCTATTTCATTATCATCCATTAAGAAAATCTTTACTTGATGGGCAATTGTGATTAAGTAGCAATAGACCTAATCCATAGTAATATTAGTTTCTTATTTGTCCTAGAGAGGCAGCACTGACCGTCTCTCGTCAATCATATTTAGTTAATATAATACAAAATATCCTAAGAATGAAGATTGGTAGTAAATATCGTATAATTTTCTATTTATTGAGTAAGGTGGGTTAGGTACTGTATTTATTCAATAAAAAATATCTAAATCTTTTCAATATATTATTTATAATAGAAATTATTGCAGTTACTATACTTAATCTATGGTTACATATGTTTAGTATTTAACGTATCATATTGTCTTGTCATTGGCACTTGCTTGACTTACTTTCTTGTCAAGTTATCTTGTGTTCTTTTCTTATTGTCATTTATATTTTTATGTGATTAATGATTTTATCTAAGAAAAATACTAAAATGCATTCGTTCTGTTTGTAAGCGAGAATTGTTTATCCTTCATCCAGGATGGCACAAATATATTTAGCGTTTATGTTAATAATAATTTTGGAGTCATTCGGCGAATGTTCTGTCGATCTTAAAAGTGATTCTGTGCTAGAAGAGGTTGATTGTAATACTTTGCGGCTAGGCCAATATATATGTCCTGATCCAAGTATTAATCAAATTGATCCCAATACACAGCAATATCGTGATTGTATGAAAGGTGAAGATATCCCGTCCGAAGGAGAAGCTTTAGGTATGTAATTTAATTATTTAGAATATGACTGGAAATCGCTGCAACCTATGCAGTGATTTATGATGCAAAGCAACTCGTTAATCATTTACTAACATGGAGGGACAAAAACCTGAGCAATTCATACCTTTAATTAAATTAACTAAAGATGTTAGTACCCTTTACTTTCTAATATTTATATACTTGAAGATAACATACATATTATTGTGGCTGTCGCTTTAATTACACTCAATGATAATTCATGTGTTTACATTTCTAGTTCAATGCATTGCTGCAGATGGTATTATTTGTCAAGAAACAAAAAGTTCCACATTCAAGAAGAAATTACCTTGTAAATGGACGTAAGTATGTTCTTTACAGTAACAATATTTATTAATTAAATAAAACAAATTTATTGTCATTTATTGTAGCATAACAGTAAAGATACACTATCAAAACTTATTTTTGTCTTAATATTAAATCATTTATGAATATATTTTTATTACAGTAATGGATACTCCTTGGAGATAGCCTTATTATTATCAGTGTTTTTGGGGATGTTTGGACTAGATAGATTCTATTTGGGTTACCCAGGTATAGGATTAGCTAAACTATGCACTCTGGGTTTCATGTTTCTTGGACAATTATTGGATATTATACTCATTGCTGCTCAGGTATGTTATATCAAAATAATAGTAAAGAACTGAATTACATATTCTAAATTTATATTTTGTCATTTAAAATACCTAACTGAATTTAACAAAAACTTTAATTTCTAATTTATATATTTTGTTTTAAAATATTTTTCAACTATAATTTCAATATTTTTATTATAGGTAGTAGGACCATCAGATGGTTCAGCTTATGTTATCCCATACTATGGTGCTGGAGTTAAAGTAATCAGAAGTAGCAATGAGACATACCTTTTGCCCCAAGCTGACTGGCACAACATTACTTGACAGTGGGGTACTATATCATTCGAGATTGATGAAGATTATGAATGGACATAAGTTAGCAATGATGTTACCACCAAAATGAGATGCTGTGTTCTACATTTCAATGTTATGCAGGGTGTATGTGACAAATTGGTAATAATTTGATTCAAACCATTACTTTGAACTAAGAATTAATGGAATTTTGTCAAAAGTAATTTAAAAAATAAGATTCTTAATTCATTTGTATTTGATAGAGTCATCACTTTTATGTTTTAAAAGATAAAGATAGGATCAACAAATAAATAAATCTTGGCCAATCTGTCACTTGCACTTTGTTTAGTAATTTTAAGAATATTATTAAAAATGAATTTTATTCATGTTGTAAATATTAATTGTATAGAAATCTATAAGTACTTGTTAATATAAATTTAAATCCTACTATTTGCATCTTAAACCTTATTATTACAAGAGTTTGACTCTTATTTATATAGTTTTAAGTGACATCCTAAGGGAATTTTTGATTCATATTTTGTATTCTACAATATCTTTATTAATTCTGAAACATTTTTTTCAATTAACAGAATTTACTTCTATTTTAGTTACATAGTAATTTAGCCATGATTGAAAACTGCTTTTGTTTTTTATTGCAGAAAAGAATTCTGTTTGTGTTATTGTTGGAATTATTTCGGAGGCAATTAAAATACAGTATAATTAATTACTATTTATTAAACTACAATAAACAAATTTTTAAAGTTAATTTGTTCCTAATTGTTTCTCACTATTTGTATCTTCTGTAGTTTGCTGAGGTTCATGTAATGTGATGTCATTTGGTGGAGCGATAAGTGTAAATATTACAGGTGTACTTGACAAGGACGGGTTACCATTTTGTTCTAATAATCGTATCCAAGATAAAAGTGAGTCCCTTGATGAAGTACCTGTAATTTAGAATAATTAATACAAACTTAATAGTTTGAAAACATATTATTATAGATAGTAAAGTTGCATGTATGCCTTGTTCCCTTAGCAGGATAGCTAAGTATTATAGACACAGACATGTAGTTTAGTAAAGTGACTATTTATGTGATATTTTTTAAAATGAAATTTAAATTTTATGTGAATAGGTTTAAAAGGAAGGGAAATCATATAGAAAAGTTGTTTGCAATTAATTAATGTGTGAATGTATGGTTTATAAAACATTTAATTTAAAATAGTGAAGAAATAAATGGTTGATAGTATAACTTATCATCATTTTTAGTGTAACTTTGCTATATAAATTTTTTCATCTTGTATATAAGGTGTCAGATTAATATGTATAATATAATAATTTGTTACACTTTGGAAGTGTAACAGTTTGTTTTATATCTATTTATTTTAAATGTCTTTATTGTCTCAGTATTATTAGCTTTTTAACTGGTTCAGTTAGACTTATCCAACAAATATATATGTAAATATTAGATAACAAATCCATCAAGTGGTATGGTCATATGTCCACTTGTTGGATTTATCAATGAATGAACTGTTTTTATGTTTGTTTTTCAATATAATTAATTGCCTGTTACATAAACACAGTAGTAAAATAAAAATGGAATACAGACTAAAAGTTTATGATTTCTGTAAAGTGCTAGAGACAACTGCTACAAAGCAAGGTAGAAAATTTATATTTTTTTACCTGTTGCACAAACTGAAACTATTGTGCCATCATCTTGTTCATGTACTGTACATTTTGTTGCAGGAAGTTTTGTACTACCAATAAAGCCAGGTATGCCTGGGGGCTTCTCTATATTTGAAACATCTAAAAAAAACAATATATATTTTAAGAATTTTGTAAATAGTGTCATATACAGTAAAATGATGTAAAAATAAAACAAGGTACATTATATTAATATTGTACATAGTATTACAACTCAAATAAAATATATGTAATTCTTTTTACCAGTTGCAATTATTTTGTACTTCATCACCTATAAAATTTTATAAAATAGACAAATATTATTGAGAAAATATATACATACCATCTGGATCTGTGTCATCCTTGAATTCTGGTCTTGTCTTTCCTATCAGTAAAAAATATGTTACTGTTTGATCTCTCAAGTAGACTGTGTATGGACCTTTTACAATTAATGGATCATCAACAGGCTGCTCTGCAAGCAACACTTTCTGAGCTTCACTTTGGGCACTTACAATCCATGTTTTATCAATTGAGGCCTCTATTTCTTCTGTCTGACAAGATTTATAATTATTATTGTTAAATTATTTAAAAATAAATTGTTACTTTTATATTTATAAATTTAATTTTTACTACTTGTAATGGCAAACAAGCTGACAAGATATTTGATAATAAATGGGAAGTCTATAGATATAAATAGCAACATGGACCATAGAGTATTGTGACATTCACACTATTCTTTATGAGATTTTACTCCTCAGGACTAAACTGTTTATGCTTACAGCAGTTATTTTGTGCATCTTTTATAATGTGTGTAATGATAGATTTTGTGCAGTAATATATATATATATATATATATATATATATATAAATTCTATGCTCTACAATCCATGAGCATACATGAAATATACCTTTTGCTATAGTAAATGATATTGTCACCATTTTGTATATATAGTACTCATTCCTATAAGATAATGGGTATAATAGTGTTATGATTACATTTATACTAATACTATAAAAAGGGAAGATTTGATTGTTTATAATAGACAATTTCAAAAACTATTCAACCCATTTAAAACAGAAAGCTATATTATCAGCAAGTAACGGGCTATATATTAGATTAAAAAATTCTATGTACTTGTGTGAAGCTGGTCTGGCTTGATAGCAAAAAATAAAATAAAAGTAAATAAAACAAATTATCACCTGCCAAATTACAATTTTAGTGCCAGGATCAACAGAGGTTATCCTTTCGATAGCTAATTTAGCTAATTCTAATGTATCATTTGGTAATTGTTCTGGCAAATACCATGGACTGAGGTTTTTAAACTTTGGCATCCAGTACATCATTCGCCAGTATTTTCTAAGGGGTATACCACGGCGACCAAATATATTTAATAACATCTGTTCCATTTCTGTATCTGGCATTACACCTGTGTGGAAAAAATAAGTTTTATTTATTTTATAATCACAAATACTTAGGTAATTATGTCAAGATGTAAGCAAGTGCTGGTGCTTAAAAGTTACATACCATTATCCTCCATTTGTTCTAGCAAATCTACAGCGCATTGTTGTTGTTTGGGATAATGCATAAATTCGGCTTGAAAAATATTTGTTGGTATAAATTTTCCCTTGGGCAAAACATCTACAAGAGCTTTGTACACTTCCAAGTCTTTTTGGACACCAAACTCCTTCATTCTGGCTAATGCTGCATATATAAATTCCACATGACCTCTACGCCTTTTGTCTCGTCCTTCGAATATTTTTATAACTTCTAAATAGGCTTCCTTATTTTTTTCAAGTTTTTGAAATGGATCATATACTGTAACATCTCTATCAGAATTTTTCCATCGTTTTAATAAAATGCTAGGATTTCTGTTTAACATGTTTCTTAAAATTCGTGTAGCCATGCTTGAATTAATTTAATGTGAATTTTTTTTTTATGAATTTGAATTAATTAAATAAAATAAGTATATAAAAGTAACCTGAAAACAGAGAATGCAATAAGTATAAAGAAAATTTATTGACGATGAGAGAACAAAAGTAGCAGTCAAATCACTGTCACTAGTGTCATTAATTTATGTAAGAGTCGGCTCTGCTCTTAAACTGACAAATAGTCTGTGATAGTGATGAAATAAAAATAGATCTATGCAACTAATTCGAAATAACAACAAAATAAAATAAATGAATATTTATAGTATTATACAACTATTTATAGCCTTTATATAAAATATCGACATCAATATCATAAAAGATTTAACTACTTTATAATGTAATATTTCAAAAATTAAATGGCTGCATACAATTATATAACTTATTTTTTATTGAAATGATGTGGACCTGGAACATAATTGCTTTGATGCGAACGAATGAAATCCAAATTAAAAAGAATATCATAATAGATAAAGAACGGAAATCGAGTATGACAAAAACAAAGTATTTTCTGAAATATAAACCTCGAAAGTAATATAGAGTTTGCTTTATATATAAAACATAAGGAGTTTATACTTATTTCAACCTTATATAGTTAATTGTATTTTTATTTAACAAGGGACTTCATAGTTCAAAGAATTAGTTTAAAAACGACATCTGAACATGCGTCCCTTTCACACAGTATTTATAGAAAAGTTACGATGCACCCATTCCATTTTATATGAAATTATTATATTATTTAATGGAATTTTATTTTTTGCGCTAGAAAGGATATTGGACTTTAGATCTTGTTGTTAGAGGCTGTGCTGAGAATACATTCAATTCATTCATTCTTTTATTAATTCTGTTCAGTTCAGGTCACTTCAAATAGTTCAAACAAGTCAGTTGAACTTATTTTATTGAGCAAGGTGGTAGTACAAACTGTAACAAACTTTCTTACGTATTTAAAGACGATAAAGAGGCAAATCACTATAGAATTATTTTCTAAATAATTAAATCAAAATGAATACTCGCGTTGTCTATTAAGTGTAAACAATTGTGTCAAAATTGAATATTTTTAGTGATAATTTAAATTTTTATCAGAAAAATAAAACGCCAATTTTTCAAGTGCAAGTGGGTTTTAAAAATGTGTAATTTCACAGTTTGTAGTTTTATCGTTCTCTTCTTGTTAAACATAGCCGGTAAGTTATTGTATAAAAAATCTATTTAATTTCCAGATTTAAAATTTTTCTATTCTTTGAAAATAAATTGCGGTCAAAAATGTATTTAGATCGGTATATATATAAAATAATATATTATTTTAATTAATATAATAATAATAATTTTCTATGTATGTAAAACTTATGTTTGTAAATTACAGTAAATGTTATAACAGGTAACAAAATAATAGCTATTTCTATTTGGTATATATTTTAACTGATATTTTCTAAATAAGTATAGCACTAACACAGGAATGGGCCTGTCAATTAAATAATAACAATCAGTTCAGAATTGACATAGACATTAAGTAAAGTACATAGAAAAGAAAAAAAAAATGAATAAAGAACTTTTTTTTTAAGTCTGTTGAGATATATTACCCATTTTCACGTATTTCTCTTAAGAATAATTTAAACCATGTCGAGATTGTGTAGATATTTGTAAGTACTTTATATTATTCTCAATTTCGTGGATAATATAGTATATGTCATATATATGTGAGTATATTTGTTATTTATATATATTTATTCGTTTATATATGTAATTTTAGTATGTATGTATATCAATAATTACTAGTACCGCATTCGAGTATTCTGACACTTGCCTATGGTTGACTGGGCGAGAATAATTTTAGCATTAAGTCCGCTATGTACACATGTTTGTACTAATGAATAAATAAAAATATTTGAATTTTTTTATATAACGTTGGTGGTAAATAAACGTATGTTAAAAACTCTAACGTAAAAGAAGTTTTGTATTCAAACTTATTACTAATAATTTAATTATCAAATTTGTTGTAGTTTTCGTTATTATATGTCCTGTCATTTCAATTATTTTACACATCAACTATTATTTACCTACATTATATTATGGGTGTGGACAGATTTTTACTTTTTTATAGGCAATTTAAAGTTTAAATGCCCCTCCATTAGCTAGCTATTTTTATTTTATTATACTTATTCTTACTTTAATAATAAATGCTGAAGTTGTTGAGGATGTTTATATTGATAGATATTTATTACTTTACAAAACTATTGAACATATTTTAATGAAATTTGGTACACGGATAGGTTATTCTAACTTATAAAATATGGTATTTTATAATTACTCATGCGGTCACAGCTGCGGGATACAGCTAATATTGTTAATATAAATACTAGGGTTTGTTTGTTACTACTTTGCACGTCTACGATTTAATCAATCATTATGAAATTTGCTACATACGTGATATTTGTAACGGATAAGGACATAGACTTGTATCCCATCAGTCTATTCACATATCTCGGTCACACGGACGAAGTCGCTGGTTTGAGCTAGTTATAATAATTATTTAAAAATAGTTTATATTCTACTTATTTGTGTGTATGCGTGAGCGTACAAATTCGAGCATGCCCACGCACATGCGCGTGCGTGGGCATGCTCGATTTCATGCGTGTTTATGTGTGTCTCTGTGTGTAAGTATGTGTGTATAGATTTGTGTGTGTGTGTGTATCTGTGTAGGCACATACATGTGTAGATACATACATGAAGTGACCAATCGTTATTAAGATGAAAGACGTATTTTTATAATAAAAAATTAACTTATATATATGTATTAAATTATATAAAAATTAACTTATATTATATGTATTTTCATAATAATGTTATAATTTGATGTGAATAATTATTGTTATCATAAATAATATAGTTAATGTTTATTATACATTTTAATATATATAACAAATATTATAAACACATAGAATGGTAAATAAAATAGATATATTTAGGTACATTTCACCTACAAACCTATTTCATTTAGTGCTTGACTTTCACAATTTATTATTTTTGTTTCTACTTACCTTTGAAAAATCTTTCCGAATCTATGCGAGTTGTTCTCAGCAGATAACATTATTTCAAACGCTGTAACAGATTTATTTTTTATAAATGATGATTTTAAAGTGTTTGTAAGCAAGTTTATTTCAATGAACATGATTTGAATTAAAATTTAGAAGTACCTTACATAGACATGATTTTTACAAAGACTACCGTGTTCTGTGACAGAAAGCACAAATGTATTTAATTTCGATACAAAGTGTATTAAAAGTAAAAGGAACTTCGCAATTATGTTTCGGATAAACTCAATATTTTATAAATCTTAAAATGTTTTGTGATAAAATATAAACGACTATTATTTCTTAAAAAAAAGTAAATGAAACTTGTACATAAACTTCTCAATACATTTGAATAAATAAAATTGGTCCACACGGTGAAAATATCATATGAAGTTAATAAAAATAATTGAAAAAATGTTAAAAGTAGGAGAATTGAAGTATTACATCTATTTTTGATTTTATTTTTATGATTCGTCACCTCATCTGCTATCAAGTATTGGTATACTCTCGTGACTGATATACAATAGTAGCATACATTGGATAATACTAATAGTAGCGGTTTTAAACACAATTTAAGAATTTATTGCACAAAAAAAAATCAACTTCAATCGTGATAAAACTGGTCATGTTCATTTAAAAATTTAATTAACCAACCGATTTGGTTAAATATTCACTTTCATATACAGACATCCATATACCTATTAGATTTAGATAGATATTACAGAATTTTTCAAATAGGTATATGAATGTCAAAGTTTTGAGGCAATAAACATAAAATATACTACCGAATTGAGAAACTCCTTTTTTTGAAGTCGATACTCGAGACCTGAATGAGGTCTGTTAGTAATGTCCCTTTGCTAGCAATATATTCTATAAGATCGACTTCCACGTAGTCCCTATCTAACTATCGTAGTTAATTCTTGGTGAACTATTCATGATGGGCCAATTGACTTAATTTCCTCGTCAAAGAAACCACTGTTAAATACTGTGTGTTAAATAATGTCTATGCAATTTTTTTTTAAATATTAGTTATAAAAAGTAGGGATGAATATAAAAAATACTTTGGTTGACAATAATCACGTTCATCAGAACGAAATCAATTGCTGAAAGCTATTTTTTGTTGTTTTCGAGGCGGCTCGAGGCGTGGCGTTCCGGGCGCTTGTCCAACCGCCCACGCTTGGCCGCCCGTCATGCTGACGAATTGATCAGTAGTTTAAATATATACAAAAATTTATTTACGACATTCAACGTAACAGAGAAAGCATACGTTTACACGAGTACACACGAGTAATTTTTTTAATAGGTAAAGAGTAATGATAATTCTACTTGTGCTATCGGTGTAGTTGACGGGACATCAGTGTCGGATGTTAGCAGAGGATGAAGTTAGATCATTTAAAATTACGAACGAAAAGATCATTAATATTGGAGTTACTTATATGTTATTGCTAAATTATTTTATTAATAAACGTGTCTATTTTTTATTATTGTTTATACATATTGAATTATTAAACGCAGTGTAGGACGACCTCACACTAAATGGAGTGACGACCTGAATGAGTGGATGCAGGTGGCTCAGAACCGTTCTTTATGGCAGTCTATGGGGGAGGCTTATGTCCAGCAGTGGATGGATAATGATTGAAATGACGGATGATGATGATATAAAATTTATATATTAAAATGAGAGTAAAGGTTAAGAATTTAACGTTAAAATTGAATAGAAGAATTATCAAATTATCTAAGTAGAATTCCTAAGTTACGCGCAGTAAAATAGCACAATTTTATATATTTGAAATACACCCGCTTGAATCAGAATACTTATATTTATCTGTATCAAATTTTATTGAATTCCGTCTAACCATTAAAGCGTGACTGAGTAATGAACATACATCTGTGTAAATTCAATCATCATCATCATATCAGCAATTAACTGTTCACTGCTGAATATAGGCCTCCCCTTGAGTTGGCCAGTAGTTGCCACGCTAGGTAAGCAGGTTGCCAATCATAGTTAGGCTTTGATGATGTTTTAAGAGGAAAGCTGCTGCCCATCCCTCGACTATTAAGTTCCTTTAGTCGTCTCTTACGACACCCACGGGAATGGAAGAGGTGGCCCATTATATTATTGGCGTGAATTTACTGGATACAGAGGAATAACACCTGAGTCCTAAGAAATGACAACGCATGGGGGGTATCATGGGCGAAACAGTATACTCTGTTATATCCATGGTACTGCTCATGTCTATAGGCGACGGTTACCACTTTCCATCAGGTGGGCCGTCAGCTCGTTTGCCATACTAAGTTGTATAAAAAAAATACCTATATAGGGACCACACGGCTAAATAATTAAATATTTATAATTAACTGTATTTAGCAACATTATTTATTTGAGTTAGAATTAAACGTATATTAGATATTAGTTCAGGATATAGTCCGTGTGAATACTACTGAAATATGTTTAGCTATCTAGTTAGTATCAATCTATTTCGGTTATTTCGGTTTTATGTCAGAGTCCAATATGAGTTTAAAAACCCAACATTACTACTTCAAGGTAAAAATAGGTAATAACATAGAACATATGTTAACAAATTATTATCTTTTGATTTAATGTATAGAAAAGATATAATATTTCGAGATAGCAATAACATTTTATATTAAAATGCAACGATAAAAAAAATCCTGAAGTGTACTCAGCTTTGCACGATGGTTCGCAATTATGCCCCATTTGATTCAATGGATCTGTGATGAATATCGATGGTTCATTTGAAATGCTGTGCATTACTTATTCAGCTACAGCTTTATCAAGTTGTTTAAATTCAGAGACTGAAGTGGGATTGAAAATTATTCCTTTAGTTCTGCATTAATGCTCGGCAAGGCTAAGAAAATTCATTAAACGCAATCTATCCAACAAAGAGAATAAATTAAGCCCCCAATAACTAGATTTAATTGTAATCTATATGTATATATATTATATATCTTACTCAATATATAAAAGTTCCATGTCACGATGTTTATTCACGTTAATCTGTTTGCTCCAACTTGAGAGAGGATAGTTCTTATTCCGATAAATGGCGATATTATTGAGATTTTGCAACCATGCGAAATTGGGGGCGGTCGTTACTTTTTTCTTTGTCATCATCATCATCATCTCAGCCATTATCCATTCATTGTTGAACATAACTCTCCCCTATAGACTGCCATAAAGGACAGTCCTGAGCCACTTGCATCCACTGACTTCTTGCAATGCATTTATGGTCGTTATTCCATGTAGTGAGGGTCGTCCTACATTGCATTTGCCCGTACGGGGTCGCCCCTCAACCTTTCTTCCCCGTCGGTTGTCATTTCTTCTAGTTATTGACCAGTTTTTTTGTATATTTGCCCTAGTAGTATAAAATAGAGTCGCTGTCTGCGTCTGTCTGTTTTTGTGCTTATTTTTTTTCAGATTTTGACAGATTTTACTGTCGGTTAGATATTTTTTACACAGAATTTGTGTGAACAATATATACCCATACGAATCAGGGCTGGTCGCTATTATAATGAAAAACATAAATATATTGAGATGAAAACGGCAGTCAGGTACCAAAAATAATAAGTGTGATACCTACCGTAAGTACCTACCTACGACTTTACCTATATCTACCATGGTAAGTACCTACTTGCGATATGTATATGATCAATGATAATGTTTATTGTCATTTATAAGGTATGTTGCTATTATTTATGATCTATATCCTTACTAATATTATGTGAAAGTGAGTTTGTTAACTTTTTGCACATTAAATATTTAACCGATCATGAACTTTGATATACGCAGTATTTATGATGGAGGATATAAATTACTTTTTATCCCCACCAATACATATCCCGATCACGTGCGAATCTTTATCTAAATTAATTTGACACCCAACATAGTGCAGTCATAAGCTGGTTACTATGTGCAGATGTTCTCGGGTTTGACTTGGGAATAAACATTTAAAATAAAATGGTATTGTTCTAATTTATGGGGTTTCTTTTATACCGAGTATTAGGATAAAGGCAGGTAACTTTTTATTAAACATCTTTGGATGTTCTCGAAAGATTGGTCTTTGTGACGAAAAATGCAACGTTCACGGGATCCACGACCCTTTCAGAATTCAAACAAAGGAACGGATGCGTAAAATCTTTACTATTTTTTTTTTATTATAATACAAGAAGTTTATTTCTTAGTATTAGGATAAAATTTTTGTATTAGGATTGAAAGTACTGTTAATTCAAACATTTTTACAAACTTCAATAATTAAAATAGACACCTTCTAGCCAATAATATATTTTTTTCTTTATAGTTGTCTTTATGGTGTTATTATTTCCAATTGTAAATTATTTAATAATGAATGTGATGTATAAAAATTATTTATTATAAATAACTAGGTATATTTATTATGATATGTATGCTTAATATAAGTTAAATATGGAGCTGTTTTTATATGACATAGGGGGCAAACGAACACGCGGTTAACTTGATGGTAAATGATTACTGTCGCTTATAGGCACCCCTAACATCAGAGAAATTGCAGGTGTGTCGTCGCCTTTTTAAGAAGGAATGTGAAATTTTTGAAGGTTTAAATGTCCCATTTGTTCAGATATACTACTTTTAGGAGTTGGTTTAAAAATTTTATTGTATGTTGAAGAAAATATCCACAGACACGTACGATGGAGGATTCTTTCAATCATAAATGACCGTAAACCTGGACACCACTGGATATATTAACTTTTACTTATTAAATAAAAATCTACTCAAAGTAAATAAAGTATTTTGAAAATCGGTCATGTGATTAAATCAATCACAGTATAAAAAAGTAAAAAAATGCTTATTACGAATTATTCTGTGTATAGATTAATAGAACTGAGAGCCAAGATAATCTGGTCTAGAGGTCAGTCTAACTTTGAATGAAGGCATAGACTTTTTATTTTATATGCTGTTTAATTATTCATAGAAGTATTAGAAATAGAGTTAGAGAAAATGTTGTGACCTTGTTTTAAAATTAAAATTCCAAA